ACTAACGCAGAAGGACTATACCTCTGTAATTGTCTACAACGGTGACGTCATTCTGGCCGTCCAGTTGTTGCACTCATAAGTGCTTCGGATTGTGTTTCATCTTTGAATTGGGAATAATTCATGTCACAACATTGACGAAAAGCTGCTTTTTATATCTTTTATTAGAACCTCTATTTTACATACCCGCTAAAATCCTCTTGTCAGGAGCTTAATTAATTCAGGAACCTAATATTCTTTCAATTAGTGCTTTTAAGCATCTCAACATGCCTAATATTACAGAAAAATCTATTGTGATGGCAATGAACGATTGTTGCAGTTTCATTTCTTGAGCATTTCGGACAAATTCTTAGTCATTATGTATACCCCGTTTTATTGGGAATAGTATTAAACTATCATTTATTTTTCAGTGCCTGCCGACTATGCTCCATCGCACATACTTAGTCTTCTAGTTACTTCATTTTTATGGCTTGGCTCGGCGTTCTCTGCCTGTCCTAAGTATAGATGTATTCCTTTACTACTTCCAGTGCCTACTATAGCTGCTTTTATGTTCGTAAACATCCTGTGGAAAACAGATTGTAAGCTGATCCTCCGCCTGTGCTTTATCGAGTCTTTCAAGCCTTATCGCCATAGATTGAAATTTGGCAAACATTCTCCCAAGATTCTGGTATCTCATCATCATATATAGTGCCTGTACGGTGTGCCCAGTTTTTTTACAGCGAAAGCTCTTATGAGATTACAACCCCGTTCATGCGCAGTTGTCTGCCTCCGGGGACCGTAACCACATCGCACGAAATTAGAAAAAAAAAAACTAGCACCAGTGAATAAGTGGGTCTCGAACACGAACCCGCTATTATACTGAGCCAAGCCGGTGGGACTTGCTGGAAAAATTGCCTTAGGCAGGCTTGATGTCGGGAAAGCAATCGCGCTCATACCACTTATAACCGCTTTAAAACATCGAAAGAACAACCAGTCATCGCACAATGCGAATAGCGTAACGAGTGGGCCATCCATGCTTCAACCATTACAAACGGTTGTTGTTGTTCACCTGTTACCTGTCGCGCATAACCACTTCAGTCATGATTCCTCGTCATCGTCAGCCACTGCATGAACAATTGGCACAAAGTGTTTAGCGGATACCACGCTTCTTAGAAGAACGACGAATAATAGCGTAGCAAATGCCGGCCTACTGCCCAAAAGATTTATTAATAATTCCTTATTGGGTGTGCTAGCTGTAGTTGCCCCATGAGTGTTTAGAAAAGACTCTGAAAGGCCGCTCTTTTAGCTTTCGTTGTGACTGTGCTGCGCCTTACGTGCAGGCCTGGCGTTTCTAACACAAGAAATACGCCTATGATTGTAAGCGGCATTGATATTTACCTATAGGTAGCGGACGCATTTTTTTGCAGGCCAAATGCTAGACACACTGTTTACTTAATTTCCAGGCCTCTCCACTATACGCATCGCTCCGTCATATCGTGATTTAGGGACTTAAAACTCCAACAATTATCAACAACTGACTATAGGTAAAAAGTTGGGTGCCTTTACATTCGTTGCTATGTTTCGTTGTGCGTGATTTACTTGCGCTATTTTTGGTGTGTGCATATTTTTTAGTCTTGCGCCAACTATGTTCAGGTTTGAAAAATTTATATCTGGCCGCTTCGTACACTGTGGCAAAATTCTACGCCCATTGTTGTGGGTGACCATTTCATGACGAAACAGTTTCCACTCACACAATCAAACAAAAGAAGCCCTTGACCCATGGGAAAAAAGAGATTCAGCAGATTTAAATATATTGTTGAACCTGTATGTAGTTCTCACTAAAGAAATATTGGGTAGTATTGTAAAGTCGTATAGAAAAACTTGTAGGAACGTTGCGTAACCTATTGTATCAGAACACTTCTGGCAAACAAAGCCGAGAGTAGGACACGTTGTCTTGAATCCCACTTTGGGTCAGCGCTACAATGTCCTTTACATTTAGAAGCAAGGGACATTGAATGCATTGTCCTGTTTTGCAAGATAATAGCTTCTAGACCACAGAAATGTTTTGTTCTTTGTACGTGAAGAAAAAATGGGGAACCCTTAAGTTCCACGTTTAATAGTTGAACGCGATGACAATATTTTGTTCCTAGTGCGTACTTCAAACACTTATTGTATGATATTTTCTAACTTGCTGTGCACCTACTACGTGCCTTTAAAGGTGCAGTAACGTCTGTGCTTTTCTAGTGGGTGACTAGCTTCATACTATGAAGTCATTGTGATAATCCGTAGTTCTGACACCCAACGTGCCTGCGACGTACGCTTGTACTACGCATTAACTGCAATAGTTCATGTTGTAACGTGAACCGTGTATACAGGACGCGTGCGTTTGTAAAGCATGAAAGTTGATTTCGCTGCATTTTCAAGCAGAGAAAGTTATTTTCACCGCATTCACAAGCAGACGCGTGGCTGTGTACCAGAACACCCGCTTGCCATGCAAACGACCCGGTTTTGATGCCAACTCCGACACGGATTTTTTTTCATTGTTACTTTATTTGCATCCTTCTCAATTCTTGTCCACGCATAAGATGGTCGACGTTTCGGTGACGCAAAGACGATTTTTCCCTCCCAACCAATGACGCCGACGCAGATGCCTCAATTTCTGCGACACACTCTTTAACGCTATCGCTTTAAAATATTGCAATTTCGTGCCTCACAAAAAAGAATGAGGTGGGACTAACGTAATACACAGATCAATCCATAAAAAAACTTAGTTCCTAAGGAGGAGAGCAAGAATGGTTCATTCTATCCCTCATTGATAACGCTGGAAGACTCTTCCGAAATATTTTGTCAAATGTATTCTCGTCAATAGGTTATTCATGGTACGAAGGGAATAGAAGCTTTACACATCTCGTGTTGCACCATACCTTGTGTTTTTAATACTGAAGTACCCCAAGGGCCCACAAAGGACATTACAACATTGGGGTGGGGACATAAGAGAAGCCTGAACGATATTTTTTCAGAAAGACAATTAGTCAAGGTTTGCACACCGCTACGATATATTATTTCGTGAAAACATTGTAACAAGACAAACATTATAACAAGAGTAAACAGCGAACAAATAAAAATGGTGGCTCAAAGCTAAAGAACTATATATTAGCTTGCAATACTGAATTAAATGAAAAATGCTCAGTTATTGAGTAAATTCGGGGATGCAAGACATTCTATTCTTCCAGCGATAACCTTAAGGTAAGTTCTTGTAATTTTCTGCCAGGCCAAGATAGCGTTCCCGTTTAAGCCTGATTGATGTGATTAGAACCATTTTATGGCAGTAAAACATTCGACTGAGCATAGCATATATAACTTTGATACATATATGGGGAAAATGTACTACAAAATGTCCTGCGCAGGGTGAGTGATGGAATGTGGAGCGTTTTTATTTAAAAAATTGAATACTTTCAAATTGTGATTATGGTGGTAAGACGAATCGAAATTCTTTACCTTGAATGACATCCAGTAAATCCGTGGGGTTGGCCTGGTGTGAAAGCTAAATAATTGATGCACATTTCAGTGAAGGGTCTACCAGGGACATGTATGCTTGAAGTCAGCTAGATACAGGCGTCATTTTAGAAAGCGAAATTTCTTTTCCACTTGAGATACTATATTCTATATGGTCAGTCCCTCTTAGCCTTGAATTCGAAAGACGCCGAGGTATATAATGATTTTGCCGAATCTACTATATTATTGTTCAGTACGTAACTATTAAATTGCGAGTTTAAGACAAGCAAATGTCAAGTCTTTGGTATTTTTGTTAATTTGCCTCTGTCGTTTGCAGCACCATTCTGCTAGCTTATTCAGGTGAGAATGCAGAATTATGACGTGATTAGTGCTCCATGAATAACGCAATTGTTGATAGAAAGGGAAACTGTAAAATTAAAATGCAGTAAAAAAGCGGGCCTATCACTGTACCTTAAGGAACACTCACCTTGATAAATGTAAGATTATAACCACTTGAAAACAATGCATAAAAACCTTTGAAGCCATCGTGTTGTTTCCCTAGCAAGCTCGAGATTATGTACATTTAATGTAACTTATTTGTGAGGTGCGTAGTCAGACAATTTTGACAAAGTAATAAATATTCCATCAATAGAGCTAGGCGATGAAGTGTGAATGTGCGTTACCAATTGATAAAGCAGCGCTTGGTGAATTTCTTTGTATATAGTGAGTTTTCTAGATAAAGTTCAAAAAGAATGCGATGAGGACTTGTTGCTAGCACATCGAAATAACGCCTCTTGCACTGCAAGAGAACTCGTAGAGACACGACCTGGACGATGAATTATTTGAAATAATCATCCTCTTTCGGGGAATACAGAAAGTTATTTTCGTTTATTATATAGAATCCGTTTATAAAACAAAATCTAAAAACCAAGCGATAATGAGTTCGTGCAGTAAGAAAACAATTATGTTCCCTTTGGTAGAGTCTTTCTGGTTGCCACAAGACGGGATAGACCTATCATAACGAAAAGCTAATATATTACGATCTTGCAATATATCCAAACCTTAAGACCACGTGAGGAACTCACAATAATGTATCTAAAATACGTTCATGCGAAGACACATAATGTAAAATATAACAATCGCATGGAACCTATATATCGTTATATATTGCCATGGAATATGGGGATAGGAGACGTATGGAAGTTGGCAAAAACGAAACAAACACTGGTGTCAATTATATTATGAAAACATGTATGATCACACAATGGTGCATTGCATATGCGATCATTTCCGAATACGTGGTCACGTAACAAATAAATACTGCATTAAACCTACATTAAATTTCCGATGGTACAATATGTGGTTAAAGAACATGGGACTGACACAAGACACTAAAGAAATGGATGGCTTGGTGCTTCCTAGGAACCCCATAGCGTCATCTTGACGCAGAGTTGGTGGTCCCGGACGTCGGCCCACCCTCCGCTAACCTTGGGCAGCCGTATTACGCGTGGAGGGATGGATCGCAGATTGCGCATGCGCTCAGAACCGAACCCTTCCTTGGGAATCACGCGCAGAGCCTTGCGGAGGAGCACTTCTTGGCACTTTTTGGGACGCCTGTGGACGCCGCTGCGATACGAACGCCGAAATTAAGACTGTAACAATTTGGCCACTTATTCGTTGGATTAAAATGCAATGAACATCATGAACATCACTTGCTACGTGTGGTGTTATCGTCGTGATCAGATATTCGCAGTGTTGTTTAATTTATTGCAGCGTAGATAGATAGATAGATAGATAGATAGATAATAGATAGATAGATAGATAGATAGAGATAGATAGATAGAGATAGATAGATAGATAGATAGATAGATAGATAGATAGATAGATAGATAGATAGATAGATAGATAGATAGATTGCTAGATAGATGCTAGATAGAGAGAGATAGATAGATAGATAGATAGATAGATAGATAGATAGATAGATAGATAGATAGATAGATAGATAGATAGTCGATAGATAGATAGATAGATAGATATGATAGATAGATAGATAGATAATAGATAGATAGATAGATAGATAGATAGATAGAGAGGATAGATAGATAGATAGATAGATAGTAGATAGATAGATAGATAGATAGCTAGATAGATAGATAGATAGATAGATAGATAGATCGATAGATAGATAAGCGTCTACAGTAGACGCTATCTATAGATAGATAGATAGATAGATAGATAGATAGATAGATAGATATAGATAGATAGATAGATAGATAGATAGATAGATAGATAATAGATAGATAGATTAGATAGATAGATAGATAGATAGATAGATAATAGATAGATAGATAGATAGATAGAGAGTAGATAGATAGCTATAGATAATAGATAGATAGATAATAGATAGATAGATAGATAGATGATAGATAGATAGATAGATAGATAGATAGATTAGATAGATAGATAGATAGATAGATAGATAGATAGATAGATAGATAGATAGATAGCGTCTACAGTATTTTTATATTGTGAGGTGGTCCCGCTTTCAACTTTCCTGCAAGTGGCACTCGGCCATGCTCACCACTCTCCAATGTGGAATACCCTGCTGACCCTCAAGCTCACGGTGCGACTGCCGGCGGGAAGACAGCTGCTCGCCACAGCTGTCAGAGTCAGGTCCCAGTTGTAGTCGTCGTGCACGCAGAACACCTGCGTATGAGAATGAGCGTTAAAGAAGAGCTTGTAGCACGCAACTACTGACAGGTCCGCGCAATAACTCCAAATTGAAAACGCGCCGTATGCGACATTCAGTAAAAGCCGCTTCATCCGCATCTCTACTCCAGATATAACCCCTAGTGTAATTAATCGACGTAGCGCGTTTAGAATCATAGGACAAGGGAAGGGACAGAAGGGTTTCCGTCGCGGGTATTCTGGTCAGAAAGCTTCAGTCCTTGCAGCAAGCTCTCCCTCATGTTGAGCCAGTAAGACGTCAGAAGCTTGCCGTAGTGCCTTATCTGCATGGAATCTCGCACAACTTGAAAAAGGTTGGGGAGCGGGCCAATGTAAAGGTGGTGTTTTCTGCCCCGAAAAAGCTCTCCTACTTGTGTATGAAAGTTGTTTCACATACAAAACCACTTAACACTGTCACATGCGCGCAATTTGTAATCTATCAGATACCTCTTTCATGCGGTAAACACTACTTAGGACAAACTGGCAGGTGCATTAATGACCGGCTCCGCGAACACGCTTGCAACGTAAGAAATGGTCGAGATGTTTTTTGGCACTACATTGCAGCACGTGTAGCTGCAAACCGCTTTTTCATGGTACGGTAATCATAGGAAAAAACAGAAATAAAGTGACAAGGGAGATTATTGAAGCAGAAAGGATTAGTAGATTAGGGCTGAACTGCATCAGCACTCCTTCTCTCGGTCTTTGTGAAAAAGAATTGTTGTTTTGGAGATCATAGGTTTTTTAGCGCATGGCAATAGAGGGTTTTTCATCTGTTTATCTGCTGTATTCGAATTTCGTGAGCATATATATGTACGCACCTCGAAATAAAATTTTGTTGGAAGTAAGCGCTCCTTTCTGTCCCTTCCCTTGTCCTATGATTCTAAACGTGCTACGTCGATTAATTATGTCTTACCAACATGCCCAACTTTATACTCTAGTTAACCCCTACCGCTAAACCTGACAAACGCGTTTCGAAAGACTGAACTTCAAAAAGCCATCTCACACTACTTGGTTGTTCATCATAAACCAAAAAGTAGCACACACTTCACGAATACGCACAGTGCCTGTGTCTCAAGTTCATCCTGTCTGTTTTCATATAGTGCGCGCTGTTTTCAGTGCAACTTACTGGCAGACGAAATACGAACGGCGTCCCTCCGTGACCACTCAGTTCATAGCGAAACAGCTGCCGAACTCCATCGCTAGGTCATGGTATAGGGCACGACCAGCGTAGTTTCTCAGTATTTCACCGCTAGGGGTACTCCCACGCAGAAGCCAATACCAGTTTGCATTCAAAGAGCAGTATTCTCTTTCGTTTCTTTTTTTTTCAAGCCTGGTAGCGCACATGTCACCATCACCTTATGAAAAAGATACTCTAGCATCTATCCACCTAACAGGCCTGCGAAACACAGGAAGTGATGGTAGCAGAAATAACCCAACCAATTTGCATGTCGGACCTAGTTACAATTTTCTAGCCCCTAGTCCACCTATTTCTATGGAAGTATATGTTACACCTACTGATCCTGCTCCAAAAATGCATCCACTAATAATCAGTGTGGTGGCGTATATCGTGAAGTTTTGGAGGGGGGGGGGGGGGGGCTCAAATTTGCCACGCCAGTGCAGTTTTTTTTATGTAAATGTAATCTACGTGGAAACAAATGCACGCACGATCATACATAAAGCCTGTTTCAACACCCACCACGGCGGTAGCAAAGTGGCTGAGCGTCTGCTTCCACTGTGGGAGGTACCGGGTTCGATACCCTGCGCAGGCCTGAGGCCACAGGTTTCCTAAAAGGCCGAGGAGTACACGGTCCTGGCGCTCGGTTTTTTATGGGCCCTAGCCTTCCCGGGTACAATCGTAAGTAACTATAATCGCCTATATATTCACGGCTTTCCGTCGAACTCAGGATAATATTGTCACAAAGACACAGGTATGCAGGTACGAAAATAGGGCGTTTACTTTCGTAACCCAAGGGCCAGAAACGCGAGCACCAGAGCACGCGCACCCAGAACTACTTCGTTGTCCTCCTCAGAGGCTGGCTACTATAGTTGCCAGCCTACCTCGCGTCAATTCCCCCTTTCAAGAGCGACCGTCCCGGTCGACTGACTAAGATGCTAGAGGTGGCCATGAAAAAAAAATCATCACGTCAACGAAAAAAAGCCCACCACGCTGTTGTGAATAATAAGAAAAAAGTTCGAAGTGTCTATAACTCGCGGGCGTGGTATGGTTTCATACGTACTACATGGACTACCTCTGGACGTGGACGTCTTCGGTTTAAACTAGTGTTGGAGCTTTGGAGAACTACCTCGTTATTCACGTCACTGAGGCAGCTCACAACTTCGTAAGGGCCAAAGTAGCGTCGCAATAGCTTCTCTGAAAGCCCACGATGTCGAACTGGTGTCAACACCCATACATAGTCACCTGGTTGATAGTGGACGTTCCTTCGGCCTTGGTTGTAACGGCGAGCGTCGATATCTTGCTGCGTGCGAATGCGGTCCCGTGCAAGCTGGCGGGCTCCCTCGGCTTTCTCGACGAAGTCGTCAACGCTGTCATTTCCACTGGTGTCCTGGTCTACGGGGAGCGTAGCGTCTCACGTGGTTGTGACGCGACGGCCATAAACAAGCTCGAATGGTGTTAGGTCTGTGGTATTTTGCACAGCGGAGTTATTAGCAAACGTGACGCACGGCAAAATTTCATCCCACGTTTAGTGCTCTACATCAACATACATAGATAGCATGTCGGCCAGTGTTTTGTTTAACCTCTCCGTCAAGCCGTTCGTTTGGGGATGATAAGCTGTTGTTTTCCGGTGGTTGGTGTGCGTCAGCTTGGTGACTTGTTGCAATAACTCTGCCGTAAATGCTGCTCCGCGATCGGTTATGAGAACAGCAGGTGCACCATGGCGCAAAACAATGTCGTGGACAAAGAATCTGGCAACTTCAACTGCAGTTCCCTTAGGCACAGTTTTGGTTTCGGCATAGCGAGTCAGATAGTCGGTTGTGACGATTATCCACTTATTTTCTAAGGATGACGTAGGGAAGGGACCATGAAGATCCATTCCCACTTGCTGAAATGGTGCTCGATGTGGATCTAAAGGTTGGAGGAAACCGGCGGGCTTTGCGGGTGGAACTTTACGCCTCTGACAGTCATGGCAGGGGCAGACATAGCGCTGAACGGACGAATACAGCTGTGGCCAGTAAAACTTCTGCCGGATGCGCGCTAATGTCCTGGCAAAGCCTAAGTGACCGGCCGAAGGATCGTCGTGGCACGCCTGCAAAACTTCCTCACGCAGTGCCGTTGGAACGGCGCGGAGGAAAGTTTCCTGGCTGCTCTCAAGATTTCTCTTGTAGAGAACATTTTTGCGCAGGCAATACGTTGTTAAACCACGCGAGAGCCGGCGTGGGACGATAACGTTTTCTCCTTAAAAATGCTCGAAGACAGGAAGTGGCTCAGTGTCCTCACGTTGAAGCTCAGCAATCCGCACCACATCGACGATGCCAAGAAACGGTAAATCTTGTTCAGTGTCCGATGACGTCGGGGAAATAGGAGCACGAGACAGGCAGTCAGCATCTGTATGCTTATGTCCTGATCGGTAGACCACCGTTATGTCGTACTCTTGAAGGCGGAGGCTCCAGCGGGCGAGGCGGCCTGATGGATCCCGTAGATTGGCAAGCCAACAGAGCGAATGGTGGTCACTGACCACTCGAAATGGCCGGCCGTATAGGTAGGGTCGAAATTTGCTAATGGCCCAAACGACTGCAAGGCACTCTTTTTCAGTGGTAGAGTAATTATCCTCTGCTTTTGTGAAACTGCGGCTCGCGTAAGCGATCACACGCTCTGCGCCGTTCTGCCATTGAACTATAGAATGGCTCCAATTCCTACGTTGCTGGCGCCTGTGTGGATTTCGATGTGGGCAGTGTCGTCAAAATGTGCCAGCACTGGAGCTGTCTGCAGTCGATTGCGTAGCTCTACGAAGGCTTGTTGTTGTTCTTCCGTCCATACGAAAGGCACATCTGGCCGTGTCAATCTTGTAAGAGGTTCCGCAATTTTCGAAAATCCTTCGACAAAACGGCGGTAGTACGCACAGAGTCCGAGGAATCGCTGAACAGCCTTCTTGTCTCCAGGACGAGGGAAATAGGCAACGGCAGCCAACTTCTCCGGATCTGGTCGAACACCCCCCGGGCTTACCACGTGGCCGAGAAACTCGAGTTCCTGATAGCCGAAGTGGCACTTTTCGGGCTTGATAGTAAGGTTCGCTCTCCTTATTGCAGTGAGGACACTTTTTAGCCTTGAAAGATGCTCGTCAAACGTGCTTGAAAACACAACGACATCATCCAAGTATACAAGACACGTCTGCCACTTTAGTCCAGCTAGTACAGTGTCCATCATGCGTTGAAACCTGGCGGGAGCGGAACAGAGGCCGAAAGGCAGAACTTTAAATTCGTAGAGCCCGTCAGGCGTCACGAACACGGTTTTCTCACGGCCGCCCTCGTCAACTTCAATTTTCCAGTACCCTGACTTGAGATCTAATGATGTAAAGAACTGGGCGTGGCGTAGACGGTCTAAGGCGTCATCAATCCGTGGCAGGGGGTAAACTTCGCGTTTTGTGACTTTGTTAAGCCGTCGATAGTCGACGCAGAAGCGTAGCGTGTTGTTTTTTTTTTCTTTCTAAGACTACAGGTGACGCCCACGGACTTGTCGAGGGTTGAATGACGTCATCATTCAGCATTTCTTGAACTTGACGCTTAATCACCTCTCTTTCCTTCGGGGACACACGGTATGGATGTTGGCGAAGAGGCCGCGCTGACTCCTCGGTAACAATGCGGTGTTTTGTAACGGTGGTACGCTGAACTTTCGATGCTGTGGAGAAGCAGTCCGAGAAATTCGTCACAAGGTTTAGCAGCCGTTATTTTCGTGAATCTGGCAAGTCTGGATTAATGTGAATGCGGCTTCCCAGGTAAGCACAAGCTTTTTTGTGCGGTGAAGTCGTATCCAATGAGCCGATATTGGAAAAGTCGGCGATTTCACTGAGGAAAGCGACAGTAGTGCCTCTAGAGACGTGTTGAAACTCATTGCTCAAGTTGGTCAGCAGAACTCGAGAGCGTTTATTCTCTAACCGAACAAGGCATCCGGCTATGCAGATGTTTTGTTTGAGCAGCAGCGGTGTATTTGCCTCTGCAATACCTTCATAGTCGTTGAATTCATCAAAAACGTCGCAGGCTACCAAGGTCAACACGCTACTCTTCGGCGGTAACATGACGTCATCGTCAACAATTCTCAAAGCATTGACGTAACTGCCGTGAGGGTTGAGCGCTAAAACGTGTGCCGTAGAAAACGTCACCTGCGACTTTTGCAAATCAATCACGACTCCATTATCACGCAGAAAGTCCAGTCCGAGAATTAGGTCCCTCGAGCAACTCGGCAGTATTACAAAATCTCCGCGATACGCGAATCCGTGAATACTGACTCGCACTGTGCACCGCCCCACCGGAGTGAGAAGATGGCCTCCTGCCGTACGTATCTGCGACCCAGCCCGCTGGGTGGAAACCTTCGTCAGCCTGCAGGCAAGACCCATGCTCATAACGGAAGTGTCTGCTCCAGTGTCAATTAGCGCCATTACTTCTTCGTCGTCCACAGTTACCGCAATGTTTGATGTCACCACTCTTTGTACCACGTTTGACTGCGTCTGTACATCTTTTTGCTGCCGTCGCTGTCGTCGTAGTGGAAAATCTTCCGTAGAGTCAGCGTCAGCGGCCTCACCTCTGGAAGTCGCTGAACTCAGTTTTCCCGACTTGCAGGACTGGGTGAACGGCGTCTCGGAGCGCTGCGTGAATAGGCTGGGCTCGGTGACCTGTAGCGAGCAGGCGACAACGAGCGAGACTCTTGCGACCGATCTTCGATACTGTGACGATTCGAGATGAAACTCTCCATTTCCAGGGGCCGCTCGCCAGGTCTTGGACGAGGGGCATTAGGCGAAAATCCACGGAGACCCACACGACAGTATGGACATGTTCGGTAGACGTGTCCGGCTTCCCCGCAGTGGAAACAAAGGGGCCTGTGGTCGGGTGTACGCCAGATGTCACTCTTTCTCGGTCTTGCTTCGGCGATCAACGGTGAGCTGCGAGGACGGAAGCCAACCTTCATTGCTGAGCGTGTCGCTCATTGGGGTAAAATACGCTGGTTGAACTGCACAATGGAGGACGTCGCACTGCTTCCGCGTAGCTCATCTCGACGCAGTGCCTCTGTTGTTGCGCCTCGGACGGTTGGCGAGCGTGAACGGCTTGCCGTAGCTCGGCGCGTACCATCTCCGCAATGGAGAGCTGCTCTACAGGTGAAGCAGCCGCCTGCATCTTTTTTAGCTCTTCCTTAATGAGAGCTTTGATAAGCTCTCGCAACGCGCTGATGTCATTGCCGAGAGTGACAGAAGTGACCTCACTTGGGTGTACACCACGGTTATAGTGCCTCGCAAGCTGTTGAAGGGCCCTCTCCATGGCAGTGGCTTCCTCATGAAACTCCGCAAGTGTCGCAGGCGGGTTTCGAATCAGGCCGGCAAAATCTCTTCTTTAACACCACGCATTAGGTGGCGAACTTTCTTGGATTCGGACATAGAGGGCTCCGCACGCCTGAAAAGCCTATCCATGTCCTCTATGTAAGTCGTCCCCCTTTCGTTAGGGCCTTGAACCCTTGCCTCTATAGCACGCTCCGCTGTCTCTTTCCTGTCCTCTCGAGCAAATGCCTTGAGGAACTGCCGGTGAAACTCATCCCATGACGTAAGCGCTGCTTCATGGTTCTCAAACCACGTTTGTGCGGAGTCCTCCAGGAAGCAGTACACATAGCGTAGCTTACGCTCTGGGGTCCAATCGTTGATGACGGTGACCCGGTCGAAATGCTCGAGCCAGTCGTCGGCGTCTTCAAAAGCAGCTCCATGAAATGTCTTCGGCGTCTTGGGCTGGTTGATAACCAGGTGCGCTGGTGCTGGCGCGGTGACGTTAGGCGGTGTTTGATTCATAGTCCTCTGACGTTCAGGCAGCAAACCGTGCTGTGGCTCGAGTCCCTGGAGACGACGGCTGTAACGTACGTGCACAGGGGTAAGCTCGGCTGAGCTACTCAATGGACTTGCGTCAGGGGTGCTCTCAGGGGACCTTATCATCAACCGTACCCAGCACCTCTACCAGAAAATGTCACAAAGACACAGGTATGCAGGTACAAAAATAGGGCGTTTACTTTCGTAACCCAAGGACCAGAAACGCGAGCACCAGAGCACGCGCACCCAGAACTACTTCGTTGTCCTCCTCAGAGGCTGGCTACTATAGTTGCCAGCCTACCTTGCGTCAATATAATCATAATTCGGTGAACTTGATTGACAGATGTATTTGGTATTGAATACCCCTGCCCCTTCCTAAATTCATATTGTGGGTCACGTGGGGTGGGTATACGCATCAATATTGGTATGACGACTGCGCTCACGAAAGGAAGAAAATTTGCAAATTCGGACTACGCTTATTCAACCAGGTTTGGAGATTAGCAAATTGCTTAACATCGAGAAAAGGCCATGACTGCTGTATCTCCAGTCAATAATGTGGTGCTATGAACCCGTACCGCCGGCCTATAGGCATGCATTGATTGATTGATTGATTGATTGATTGATTGATTGATTGATTGATTGATTGATTGATTGATTGATTGATTGATTGATTGATTGATTGATTGATTGATTGATTGATAGATAGATAGATAGATAGATAGATAGATAGATAGATAGATAGATAGATAGATAGATAGATAGATAGATAGATAGATAGATAGATAGATAGATAGATAGATAGATAGATAGATAGATAGATAGATAGATAGATAGATAGATAGATAGATAGATAGATACTGACGCTGAAGCACGCCCGAATGTCTTTCCACAAGTCACGTGTCATGATTATGCCGAGATTGTTGGTGCTCTTGTTCCACGGGCGGATTTCCACCTGCGTACGACGAAATAGTTTTGATACTAAGAGATGGGTTTGACGCCTATTCAAAAATAATCGGAAAGTAGAACCTAATCAAACGTAGCGTGTTATTGCAATGCACTTCGTTCATAAATGAAAGCGCACTTGGTACATCGAACTCGCTGTACACCGTCTAAATTTAGTCGATGCATTTAAATTAGCTTAAGAATTTTGGACTTCTTTGTTATTGTACTCGTGTATTGCACTGTAGAGAGAGCTGCATCGCTGCTATTTTTGGAGCAAGACCTAGCGGCATGACAACAGCATTATAAAAAGGCGTGTTATTACAATGCACTCCACTCAGAAATGAAAGCACACTTGGCATAGAACTCACTGTACTGTCAAAATTTATTCCATGTGTTTAACAGAGGTAAGAAACTTGGAATTTCACGCTATTTGTACTCCTGTATTGTACTGTAGAGAGAGTTGCACCTCTGCTATTTCTCACGGTAAGACCGAGCAGCATGACAATAGCAGCAGAAACAATAGTGTTATTACAATGCACTTCGTTCAGATGTGAGAGTGCACTTGGTATCCAACTCGCTGTACCGTCTAAATTTATACGGTGTGTTCAACTGAGCTAAGTAATTCAAAAATTTTGTGGTATCTGTACTCGTGTATTGTGCTGTAGAGAGAGTTGTACAAGTGCTATTTCTTACGGCAAGACCGAGCGGCATGACAAGAGCAACAGAAACCATAAAAATGCGACAATGGCAGTTCATAACCTTAGAAGCTATAACAGCAACAACACCAGCAACAACGCAAGCATAAATACATCTAGAACGACAACAAGCAACATAAATGCACGAGTAAATCATCGGTGACAGAAACAATAAAGAATAAGAGAAGTACGACTACTGCACGTTCACTTACGGCATCGGTGAGTAACTTCTTGTTAGCGTAGTCGTTGTTTCCAACCATGCAAAGGCAGGTGTTCTCACCACAAAAGCTGAAAGAAAAATTGTTTGAATATTATTGAAGATGCACGTGGCCACTTCATGGTCTGAAGAGCGGTTCCAAAAATATTATATGAGCACAACCAAACGACACATTCACAGAAACGCACCCGCACAACCAGGCACCAAACACGTGCAGTGCTCACTTTCAACAAGTTCTTTTATAGTAAATTGTAAGAAGTGTTTCTCTCAAAATCAGCAAGCCCTCCATTACTTTACTGCAAGATTGCAAAGCTTTCAGGCGTAAACGTACACCTAGTTGGAACACGTTTGCTTTGGTCAATCAATGACCATTGATGTTTCCTATAACACTTCGCAAGCCTCTCCTTCTTTTCTTATTTGATTATTAAAGGGAAAGGAAGAGAAAAGTGAGCCCCGTAACTGTCTCTTGGGGGGAAGACACCTCAATAGTAGCTCATGAAGGGGGCGGGGGTAAAGTATGGATTGAAAGGATAGGATTAAAAGGTAAAGAGATAAAGAGAGAGGAAGGAGAGAAGAGGCGCAGGGACAGCGAACGACTGAAAACGATGGAAGTAAAGAGGAGATAAGAAAAAATGAACATGACGCAGGAGTCCGAGGACGGGGCACAACTCGGCGAGAGCTCTTGTCGGCGTCAGGAGATGGCGTAGCGCGAGCCCAGTTGGCCAGAGCTGCGCTGTCGTCGGAGATCGCGGGGGCACAACCGGTGGGCACGAAATCCAGCGAGCGACTCTCTGTCCTCTCATTTCCCCGTTTCTAATAGAAGTTGTCTATGTCATGGCAATGCGCACATTTGTTTTAATTAGCATTGATAAGAATAATAGGATGTTGATCACAATTGGGTGGGTCACTCATAGCTACTAAATGACGAGCTAGCTTTGGTCACAGAGTGCGTGCCCATTCGTGTGTTGCACCATCGAAAATGCATGCAATTGAATACAAGGAGGACAATATCATTCAGTAGCACTGGGTACGGATCATATACGGGCCACTAAATAAGCAGAGATAGGTAATAGTGCACTTCAAGTTGTAAAAGACTATGTCAACTTAGGGCAGGTGATAACGGCGGAGCGGAACCGCGAGATTGGAGTAACTAGAAGAATAAGATTGGGGTAGAGCACATTCGGCAAGCACTCTCAAATTATGACAAGTAGATTGCCACTATCCCTCAAGAGGAAGGTATATAACAGCTGTATCTTGCCGGTACTTAGCTAAGGAGCAGAAACCTGGAGACTTACAAAGAGGGTTCAGCTTGAATTGAGGACGACGCAGCGAGCAATGGAGAGAAAAATGGTAGGTGTAACCTTAAGAGACAAGAAGAGAGCAGAGTGGATTAGGGAACAAACGGGGGTTAAGGATATCATAGTTGAAATCAAGAAGAGGAAATGGACATGGGCCGGGCATGTAACGCGTAGACCGAATAACCGCTGGTCATCAAGGGTAACTAACTGGATTCCCAGAGAAGGCAAGCGGGTTAAAGGCAGACAGAACGTTAGGTAGGTAGATGAAATTAAGAAGTTTGTGGGTATAAATTGGCAGCAACAAGCACAGGAACGAGTTAACTGGCGGATCATGGGAGAGGCCTTTGTCCTGCAGTGGACGTAGCCAGGCTGATGATGATGATGATGATGATGATGATGATGATGATGATGATGATGATGATGATGATGATGATGATGATGATGATGATGATGATGATGATGATGATGATGATGATGATGATGAAAGAACCGTCTGATTAGCAACGTCGACATCCGAGAATGGGTCCATAGATGTGCCTCCGTCTTGGAGACATTCTGAAAATGGATCTATTTAGAAATTATTTTTTCAGAAGGTGGGCAGAGGCTCCATTATGTTTATCTATGTTCACGTGTCTTTATGTATACAGGTTGGCGCGATCACGTGATGGCCACGGTGTACGGTGCTCTGCTGCTCACCAGAAGGTTATGAGTTCGATCCAAACCACGGCGGTCGCATTTCGACGGAGGCGATATGGTAGAGCCTGGTGTACTGTTGGTGCACATTAGAGAACACCGCATTGTCGGTTTCCGCAGCCCTTCACTGCGGCATCTCCTATAATCATATCGTGGTTTTGTGGCGTCCAGGTATTGTTGTACTGTTACGTTTCAGTTAGGGTTCTTATATTTGAATTAAGGCGTTTGAATTATATGGTTTGGATTAAGGTGTTATGTTACGTTTGTATAGGTGCTGTGTGTACATAGAGACATGCCAAATAGGAAAAAAACCTGAAGGGGTCACTTTACCATTCCACTGGCTGCGCCAGTGCCAGCCAGGTACAAAAGCGAACAGGTAAAAAGAAACGCAGATGAGGAAGTTTTAGCTTCTCGCAGACGAAAAAAAGATTCCGGTGAGACACATACTGTGCAACTCCGTCGCCCTTGCGTAAACTTCTAACTGCTCTAAACAGTTTACAAATACTACCTAGGTGCCGCGCTCTTGTTTTGTTTTTTCCGCGGAACTTTAAGACAAATTTTTTATGAGGTGCATTCGCTGTGCATTCATACTTGAAGCAGTTTAGACGACGTGAACATCACCAAAAATACCACAGAACAAGGGGCTCAACTATGTGGTCCTGTGGTGTACCATTGTCTTCTGCACCCGTCCTTTGCGCTGGTTTACTTATGAATGCTCACCAATTTAAAGTGTTGCTAGCTGAGTCAAGTTCTGGTGCATAATTTAAATTTAGTACTGGCCAACAAAAGCCTATCCTGTGCGTGTTTTTGTTCGCCAGTACAACGTTTTGCAGTCTTGTCCAACCCGCCCAGTCTTAATCCTTCTACAGCGTTGAGTTTACGGAGGAAAAAACAAAGGAAGGAGCATGACGTCACGTCGCCAGCCTCCGCAAGCCAACCCGTTTTGTAGCCACCAGTGTCGGCCAAACTCGTGACCTTTTTGCGTCAAAATCACGTAAGCAGCGAGACTTCCCGAGACTGAGGAGTATGGCACCCGGTAGCTTTTAATCAAAACGTGCTTGTGCAGCGCAGACCGGTCGGCCCACGCAGGGGGTTCTGAAACGGAACGCCACCGAGAGTACTAAAACCTACCGCAATCTCTGACGTTTTGATCACGTGTTCAGCCAACATGATGGGCATCACTCTTGTGACGTAATACTCGCTCTCTTTCTTCTTCATATATGGTTGTTTGTATGTGCACAGCTTGCATGCAACGTCATAAAACGAAAACATGGTGGCCTAAATGGTGTCAAGGCGGTATATTCTGGGGTCGATTTCCCTGCATCAGTGCAATAACGACGTCGCTGGAAGGTTATAGTGTGTCTCTGTGTCTGAATAGCGATATAACCAGTATGCAGTGTACTGATAAGTTAACACTAACGTGACATCACAACGTTCGCGTCTCACCGTGTTGGTGTTCCAACGTGGCTGTTACCATCACGTAGGTGCAGGCCAGGGTTCTATGCAATTTTTTTTTTTGGGGGGGGGGGGGGGGTTGCACGTATTTGATATAAAGTGGGGGCCAGGCAGGCGAATGGTCATTTTGCGCTATGTATGCATGGTGGAAACAATACGGGGGGGGGGGGGGGGAGGGGGGGGCACTTGCCTTGAGTGCTACCCCCTGGCATAGGCTATCTATAAGCACGTGCAAAATTGAAAAGTTTCTAGAAAAAAAAAAGGAAACTCTGCACCCACCCCCCCCGCCCCTTTTTCTGGCTGCGGCAATAGCTGAATGCCTCTATATATCACTGACATGATGTGGCCGCAAATAATACACACACAAAGTAAAGAAACTTTACTTTGTGTGTGTATTATTTGCGGCCAAATCATGTCAGTAAGCAAGTACCAACTAGGCTAACAATCAGTATTGTAACAGTATATCTCTATATATCAGCTGAGGTTACTCACGCGCGCCTTTTGGAGAGGAGTAACCGGACGGCGTCGAGGTAGTCCGGGGCCACGTAGTAGTCTTCCTCGAGCAGCGTGATGGGGCCCTCGTGGTTGCGCGTCACGTTCAGGCTCTCCATTACGACGTTGAGCTGTGCGTTGTCGTCACATGTAGCCGGATTGATTGCGTTGCAGGGTGGTATAGTAATATCATTGAAATTTGGGCGATTTCTCAGTTAGGCGAAGGCAATCGTGCGAGCGGATTATATACATATTCATCACGGGCGTAGCGCAAGAACATTAAAAAAAACGCGCAGACAGGTGCTAACCCTGTGTTGTTCTCCTTTTCAGCACCCGTCTTTTGTGGTTCTCCTCTTTTCCGTCTACGTTTATTGCGCCCATTTACAAGGTCGTCCTTGTCTAAGAACATCTTATTAGAATTCAAGACAGCGTATAGACTGATGTTTTTAACACACCATTCGGAAATGTATTATTGCGTGTACCGACACCATACGTTGATGTCATATAAGGGACCTTCCCCTCGTCAAGCTGAATAAGTGTTGTAGTGTTAACGGCTTGGATACTAACGTAGCAATCGTCTTAGAAGTGGTCGTCCCTCCTCTATGCGTACATAGGTGTTCTCTTCAGAACCATATCGCAGTTTGGCACGTAAAGTAAGAGGCCTTCATTTTTTACTTGCATACGTAGAACACGTGGTGCCTTATGTCGAGCCATTTCCATTCTTGTTTCACCTGTGTCACGCTGTTACATTATGTCAAACATATTTTCGAGAGAAAGTACTGGAGTATGGTTATAATTTTGATCCTATTACTCGGATGACTTCAAAACCATAAGTGATATGATTGAGTCAATAGGTTACCGTCACGAGGCGTGTCGTATGTCAAGAACGGGAATCGCTTTACGCACTATTAGGGGTGTTGGAGAAAATTTGGGGGGGGGGGGAGCACCACATTTATCCGAAAGGGGAGGGGGGGGGGCTGGCAAAGCTCATTTTGTGCTACTCTTCTCGAGTTCATTTTGCGCTATGCATGATAAGGGGAGAACTTTTTTTTTGGGGGGTGGGGGGGTGCACGGGTTTGATGTGCCACCACCTGGCTATACGCCACTCTTCACTTTCGTACTATTGCTTCCTGGTCACGTCGCCAAATGTGGTGCGCCGGGTCGAGTTGGACCTTAGAGCATTTACTACATACAGTGTTCACAAGCCAGCCTGTCTCTGGTTGTCGTCGCATAATATAAACTTTCACAAGTAGTGGCATATGCACTATAACACTATGAATAAGAATCTCGCGTTATCGTGCGTGAGAGCCAACGTCCTTTTTTATGCATTTGAAACAGACACATAGTTGTTAATTGAAGTGTTAACTTCTAGGCCGCATATGAACACAAATGGTGCAGACAAACTAACACAAAAACATTTCTAGAAGCATTGCCCGATAGTACATGGCTGTGTTTCATGTTTGTTGTAGCAGAGACGGCGCTGATTTCATGTCGAAGATGATTTGTACGTCACTGTGGCGACTAGCTGATGGAGACATGGCAATATTCGAATACGCGTCGATTACGAGTACAAACTGAATGATATTCTCTAATGCTTATCTAATTATGTCATTTCTGTTATTAGAACTACTTCGACTGATTTTGTATCGCAATCCGCTGAGTCACGACTTTCGCGGCAAAAACGCCTTGTTGGCTAGCCCTAGCACCTTGCCAGATCCATACCCTCTAGTTTGTCATTATCCCAGCATGAATAATAATTAATATGGATTTGGAATAGTTGGGGTTTCATCGTCCAAAACCCCAATATTATGAGAGACGCCGTATTTGAGGGCTTCCGGAAATTCGACCACCTGGGTTTCTTTACATGCACCCAAATCTGAAGCACACGGGGCACGGGCCACAAAATTTCCGCCTCCATCGAAAATCGCCCAGCCGCCGCGCCGGATTTGAAAACCCGGCGCGACCTGCGTCAGCAGCCGATACCTTAGCCACTATACACCGCGGCGGGGCAATAATAATAATATAATAAAATAGAATAATAATATAATAATAATAATAATAAATAATAATATAATAAATAATAAGAAGAATAATATAATAATAATAGTAATAATAAATATAATAAAATAATAATAATAATAATAATAATAATAATAATAATAAAATAATAATAATAAATAATATATAATAATAATAATAAGAGAGATCTTATGTCCCAAAAGCATGATGTGACTATTAGAGACGCCATAGCGAAGAGATGCGAGAATTTCGACCATCTGGTGTTCCGTTACGCGCGCTGAAATCGCACAGTACAGGTGCCCCTGCCATTTCGCCTTAATCCAAATGCGACCGTCGCGGCCCCGGATTTGACCCGTGACCTTCGGGTCAGCAGCCGAGCAGCTTGATCACTGCTCCACCGTGGCGGACTGTGAGTCACTTTATCCTCACTTGGCCTAATTCACCCGTGTCCCAAGGATATTTCCTACCTCGTAAGAACTTTTAGTTCGTTCGTTATTGTGGCTTCCAGCGCAATGTGGTATATTGGTATATACACATGGGTTTAAGGAATACCAAGTTACCAGATTTTAATAAGGAATATTATAACGGAAAAATTATATATTAAAAAGATGTTATATCAAAAAAGATTATTATAATCTTATATAATAAAGATTATATATAAACAAAAACGTGTAACACTTTTTTTGTTTCCTTTGGTCTAGTGCACTTGAGGAAAAAAGAGTGTAAAATATGCCACGCTTTCCTTACTAGGCCGTTTCCCTGACTTCACGCCAGCGGAAAAGGAAAACGCACCGTGTTTCTGCAGTAACCATTCCGTGCTTGTTTAGTTCATGACGGCCTCGCTAGGTGGCAACAGCCGTCGCGCCTATCACGTGTACGGCTGTGGTGTCTCTGGTCTGACGCTAAGAAGTTTGCGGGTGAGCTACAGCTCTCTTGACTCAGTGGTTGACGGCGTGTGCGTGTGCTCACCTTCCACCACCAGTGGTGCTTGATCTGGGTGAACTTGCTCTCCCTGTAGTGGCCGTACTGGTCGGGATATTCAGCGTTGTTACACTTTATCTTACGAGCCCTGTGAGAAAGGAAACATGGGGCACTTGGGAACTACAATACAGAAAAGTAGCGTTCGACTATCAAGCAAAAAAGAAAAGGGGGAGAGGGGGAATGGCACTCGATTCTCCTATGACAAGCGCGGAACTTCTCACGAACTACACAACATCTTCCAGGGCACGAAAGAAAAGAAAAAAAACGAATAGGCGGAGTACAAAACGACACGCCGAATACCCTTCTACTTTGGTGTTCTTGGTGTCCATCTCGACTCCGTCCGGATCATTTTTTGAAGAGCGGGGCTGTTTAAAGGTCATGCGGATCCCTGTCGATCCATCGTCCGCATTTCTAGCCCCACAGCGAGATCGAGGCATTCCCGCGATGAAAAGCAATCGTAAAGGTTTACAGGGAAGCCTATAGTAGCGACTTGAAACTGGTAGAGAAAGGGTAACAACGTGGAAAGGGGGAAGTTGGGTAGAAAGAACGAGCAAAAGCGAAGCTATGGCAAGAACGAAGCAGGTGCTGGGGAGAGACAAAGAGTACGAGCGGTTGGCATAGAAGAGCGATGGCTTGAAAGGAAGACTGTTTAAGACTGTTTAGAAGCTTCGATTCAAGGCTCTGCTTTTCTATGCCAAATGTCAAACCAACTAGCCCAACAATTCCCTATTTTGAAGTAGGAGTATGACTGGTACTCCCTCCGTTTTTCCACACCTTGCATTAATTCTGAAATGATCAGTGATGGCCAAGGGCTAAAAAGATCCTGTATTAAGAAGGCACCCAACTTTATGCAATGAGAAGGGGATGAATGACAGTGAAGCAATGTAAAACCAGGTCCAGCAAGCTAAAGCCACCAGCCTCGCTGTTTAACCAATCTTCGTAAAGGGGGTTGACCATTTTGTTTTTTTTTTTTTTTTTTTTGTGGTGGTAGATGTATTACAGTGTGATTTACAAGAAAATGGGACAATTCATTACGCTTAACATTTAATGGAGTGTGGTAAATGCAAGCTTATAAGGGCGCTTAATTTGACGGCAATAATGTAAATGTGGGCAGCCATTATTAGTCGAGACTTAGCCGACACTATTCATTCCAGGTATTCTACGAGTAAATACGGTCGGCCTCACACAACAGTCTTCAGACAAACTCATTATCTTTTATCTTATTATAAGATAGGTTTAAGGTCCTCGCAAGCGTCTTATCTCAGATTTCACATAGAATTTTTTTTTGTTTACTATAAGACGCGGCCTAAAAAACTTCTGGTTACGTTTCTAAGAGGTTGCTTCTCTTACATTTATATATTCCATTTCTTATTTCGTTCAAGAATTGATGACTTCAATGCCATGTTTTCATATTTGGCGTGGCTACAAAAAAAAAAGAGAAAGGCCACAGTCTCGATACACGAATGTGGGGCGCCAATCGGCTTTCGCGTAGTTTGGACAAAATACAAGATAGTGAAAATTAATGTGAATACGAGAAACTTTATGTTGCCATGGGAGGTTCTCACTGTTCGTAATGAATGTTCCTCGGGCAATCGTTCGGGTGGACGCCTGGAAACTCGTGAGGATAAAGTTGAGTGGAGTAGGGGAAAAATATCTGCATCACCTGCAAAGAGGGCGCAAATAAAACCAACATTACGAAATGTCGCATTTCTCAGTTGTTGTTTTTTTTCGTCTGTAAGCTGGATCATATATAGATTTCTAGACTTACATTGACGCAAGCCTATGCCCCTTGGCTATTTTTTATGTGTGTTTGTGTGGAAGTTCGTGAGAGGGATAGAAATAACGAGCTTGACTGGGTGCTTAGAGAGTCGTGTAAAAGAATAACTACATGTGAATCTAACATGGAAGTGTTGAAAGTCGACCACCATTATTTCCTAAGTGATTTAGTTAATCAAAATTCAATAATTTCACAGATATACCGGCGTTTCTCTTAGCCGCGTATAGTTCTGACACTACAATGCTGGAATGAACTTTCAAACCTTCACTAGTAGACCTCCATCAATTCTAAATTCCCTACCACCACGAACACATCACCGTGACGTTGGCGAACAGGTTGAAAGAATTTATATTACATTTAGTAGCGCTGCCGACGGCTACACAGTGAGGCGGCAAATAGTTTCTTGAAATTGGCTACATGTTACGGTAGTTGGATTCAGTCAAATAATCGCTGATGAATAGTAATCACTGGGCAGGCTGTGTGTAGCATTAGGGGTGTTGTTAAAACATGATTGATAGTGGATATCACCTCTAACGACAAGACGGCACAGAAAAGATGACGCATAGCGCTGAACAACCAACAACTCAATTCTTCGGAAAGCATTCGATTTTTGTATAATTACGCACTGTTGCAACAGCCATACCAATTGTTGCTCATGCAGGTCAGTGTTAAACCATAGGTTGAGAGAAGATGTGAGTAATGTTGATCGCTGACAACAATGGTAGCACTCTGCTCATTGAAGCACTTGTAGGTTTAGGCCAAGATTTTCAGATTGTAGTACTGTCACAAAATGCTCAGACCGCACCACACGCGAACTCACCGAGGTCGAAAAGACCGTTTCCTAAAATTTATTTTCTAAGTACCCCCTGTGTCACACCCACTGATAATGACAAAATGCACCTATATGTTTCTTCCCGTGAGGAATTCTTGTAACATCTTTGTGCTCCACGTACGGCTGTTGCAGCGGTGTGAGACCGTACAAGAAAGACCGGTATTTCCGAAGAAAAAATAATTGTGGGAATTTCAGCGTTCTTTCTCCTCTCTTCAGTCCGCTTTCATCGTTGTGCCGATATACACTCTTATTTGCTGTGATTTTACGTGCCAATACCAGGATATTATTATGAGGCGCACCATGATGGGGGTCGATATTGGATGAATTTCCACAAGCTGGTGTTCTTTAACATGCATCTAAATGTAAGCACTGGAAGGTTTTTACCATTGCTACAGTTTAGTGTCCAAAAACCATGATACGATTGCGAGAGACACCGCAGTGAAAGGCTGTGGAAGTTTAGACTCCCTGAGATTCCTTAACGTGCTACTAAATCTGAGCACGCGGGCTTCAAGCGTTCTCGTCTCTATCGAAAATGCCTCTGCCGCGTCCAGAATTCGGTCAGGGTGTTCTTCGTATTACGTCCCCCCTCAGAATGCGGCCTCCCGTGCCGGCAGTCAAACCCTCGCCCAATAAAGAGCTCAGAAGCACTGCACCTTTCCTCTTAAGCTGCAAAAACAAATCTAGTAGACAAGGAGGTATACCACCTCAGAAATGCACGCCCCTTGGTGGTACGTCCCCCCTCAGAATGCGGCCTCCCGTGCCGGCAGTGAAACCCTCGCCCAATAAAGAGCTCAGCAGCGCTGCAACTTTCCTACTAAGTTGCAAAAACAAATCTAGTATACAAGGTAGACCACCTCAGAAATGCACGCCTGCTGGTGGTCTAGTTATGGTACTCGACTGCGCACCCGAAGGTCACGGGATCGAATCTCAGCCGTGGCGGCTGCATTCCAATGGAGGCGAAATAAATGGTGGAGGCCCGCGTGCCTATATTTAAGTACCCATCAAAGAGCCCCGGGTGACTGCAATTTCCGGAGCCCTCCACTACGGCGTTCGTCGTAATCACATAATGGCTTTGGTTCGTGAAACCCCTAAATTCACTACCTTTTCATAAAATTCACCCAAGAGGCTAAAATAGGCGTCGTTGTCATAAAAAAGAAAGACTGCAAAGATCATCGCAACAGAGTCGATTCTTTGAATAGCTGTCAAGTATGCCTTCTTTATTAATTCTCAGATAGAGCACAACTATTCACACCTCACGTGGAGTTGGTTAAAACCATAGAGTTTCTTAAAATTAACTAGAGGGGCCTCTGGCGCTGCGATCGTTCAACGACCATGGGAATGATGGGTAGTACACACATTTGCCTAGTCTTCGTACTTGCGGCTTCGTTTATTGCTGTGTTTCGATTGTGTTTTGAAAGAAAGATTCAACCCTTTTGAATCGCTTAACATTTGCTGATTTTCGTGCCGTGAGAAAACAGTTTCAAGCCACACGAACACACACAGAGCCAAAAGCAGGCCGGAAGTACGAAGTTTAGACAAATGTGTGTACTACCCAGCATTCCCATGCTCACTGAAGCGCCGTGCGTTGCACCTGCCATAGACACTAGCGCCAGAGTTCCCTCTAGTGCATATTAGGAAACTCTATGGTTAAAACAAGGTTTGACTGTACGTGTTTATGGGCGAACTTATTCATTGTGGTGGTGTTAATAATGCGATGCGAGAGATTACGTCACGACCAGGTCGGGTACACGTACCCTGCAGAAGGTGACATTCTCGGGCAGCTCGAGCATGTGCGCATCGTAGTAGTCGTGGCTGAACACGATCAACGCTCGCTCGATGCCGCGCACTGCGGACAGGCTTTGCAGCAGGTACTGCAGGTAGCGCCACCTGTTGTGCACCTGCACAACTATCACCGGATCCGAGGGCTCCAGGGTGGCGCCAAACTTCTCCTCGTGGTGCACCTGCTGTACTCCCAATCAATCAATCAATCAATCAATCAATTGACCAATCAATCAGTTGAATCACGTACATTAGCGGATATCCGATTCAGTACAGTCGGCCGATCACTTAGTACGGAACCAGTCGGATTATGAACAGGGCGTTCTGGGTACTCTAATTTTAACAGCAGGGTGTGTAACATGCTGGCCAGTTCATTTTACTTGGTTTGTAATCTCGTTCCGCAGTGCCCAGCGTAATAATCAGCTCCCTAATCAATTAAATGAAGAAAACTTGAGAAACTGATCATTTGTTTTTCTGAAATTGGCCATGACTTTTCGCATTTTCGCGTGCCTTTTCTTCGTAGTACACTCCAGGCGCGAATACTTCTCAAAAGCGGGGGTTTCATTCAAACCACTGAACCCACAGCCGCACGGGGGTCTATGGCTGAAATTATAGACCCACTTTGTGTAGATAAACTATCTGCTTGGTATAGACGCCGACTAAATCCACCTGTACGGACGCAACGTTTGTTACTGCATTGAAGCTGCAAGGTGCTTTGAAAAAATTGAAATAAACTGTGACGCTAACTACTGGGGCATTATACATCATGTGCTGCATAATCAGTGCGGCAGTGCTAGGTCACCGCAGGTGGCCGCTTACCTGCCTCTTGTTGAGGTTGAATGCGAAAATCCGCAAATCTTCCACGTTCGCAAGAGCGACTGGCGGTTCCGTCACCGTATCGAGAGACACCTGCGTAAACAAGCAATAGCAGTCAGTTATGACATACGTGTCGCGCTTTCCTCGAATGACGTATTTTATTTATTTATTTATTTATTTATTTATTTATTTATTTACTTATTTATTTACACACACTGCAACAGCCTCTGTTGATTTTGCCAGGCTGGCACACAAAATTAATTTTTGAAGATGGGCAATCACATGGACGTATCATACATATATAGTTATACAATATACACAGAAGATACATACTCGCACGTGCCATACAACAATGCACATGCAAACGTGTGTACAGATTTAAATGAAACACTATTAAACTGAGAAGTGCAACTTCTACAAAGCTGTAGGCTGCAGATGTTTAAAGCAGTTATAATATTCACCGCTTCCTGACTGATCAGAGTGTGTTCAAACCATTACATGTGTATGTCATCACCGACATTAAAAACTACCGTTCCTGATTGCCTGCTGCAAAGCGCCTTTGAATGCATGCGGAGCGCTCTTGCTCAAGATCGCGTTAACTGCTTGCTCTTATAGAATGACACGTAGCTCTGCTAGTCGGCTCATGTTCAATGATTAAGCCACAGAAAGCATGGCTGTTCCACGCAAAGAAAGTGCTAGACAGGGGGTACAAGGGAACTCACCCCGAATCCTTCCCTGCATACTTTGTTTTGTTCGAAACAGCCATATTGTCGGTGGCTTACTCACTGTATTCGCTCTGCATTCCCGGAGTACCACCCCCCGCCATTACCGGTGTGGTTACGTTGCGTGGCCCGTGGTCGCTGAAGGAATATAGCAGGAGCACGACGCAGCAGAGGGAACCGGTGACCAAGAAGGGCCGTTGAAGCAGACCCAGGCGCAGAAGGCTCCTCCTGAGACACCACATCGCTTGATTGATTGACGTCGCTTTTCCGCCACAGTCCGACGTTTTCTGCTTCTTCTTTTCCTCGGTAAATGGAGCTGAGCTCGAAGCACGCGTCTTCACCTAGGACAATCTTCTTCTACTTCTTCTTTCTTGCTTGCTTGCTTGCTCGCGTAAGCGTCGACTTTTCGCTCTTCTAAGTCGATATCAATGATATTGACTAAGAAAACAGTAACAACATAGCTTCATCTTAGAGACATCTTTGGCAAATGTATCAGGAACCAAGCGGCTTTTTTTTTTAACTTGTTTAGCCAGCTTTTTATGCTGGAGCCTTGTCCGGCGGCGACGGCGGCGTGTACACTTCTCCGGTTATTTCAGAAATGCTCAATGGATGGCGCGCCACCGCTGAAGGTGTTGGCTTTCCGGTAATTTCAAGAATGCTCACTAGATGGCGTGCCACCGCTCAAGGCTGCGCACACCACTCTCGGCACGTGCGCTTCCTTTCTCTTTGCCGGGAGCTCACGCAGTGAAGTTGCGTCGAGATTAGTCACTGGCTTGAAGAGGCAATGTTTTTCGGAGTGATTAAGCCCCGAAATTGACAATATGGGCTCCTGTATTTTAGACGGAGCGTTGACCTACTGTCCCGCGAACATCTAGCCGTGAAGCAACTACCTTCCAACAACGAGTGGTTAGCGCTGCGACGATATCGATTCGTGACTGACATCTTGGTTAGGAAGTGAGCTTGATTGTCCAATTAACAAAAATTGATCACTCCGTGCTGCATCTTAAAGTGTTCCTAATGTGTCAAAATGTATTTATTTTTACTTGGAGAATTGAATAGAAAAAAGCAACAGAAAGAAGCAAAAATTTTCGCCAATATTTCGCACCCGATATTTATAGCGCTTTTTTGTAAAATTTTCTTACTCCGAAAGTATAGAATATTGAAGGTAAATGTGTTTAGAGTACTGTTGATTTTTCATTAGAAACATTAGAAGGCATCATAAAGCACTGCGGCCGGTGTCTAGTTGCTGCTGTACATTAGGTTGATTGATTGATTTTTGGGATTTAACATCCCAAAACCACTATATGATTACGAGAGACGCCGTAGTAGAGGGTTCCGGAAATTTTGAACACCTTGGGTTCTTTAACGGGCACCCAAATCTGAGTACACGGGCCTACAACATTTCCGCCTCCATCGGAAATGCAGCCGCCACAGCCGGGATTTGATCCCGTGACCTGCGGGTCAGCAGCCGAGTACCTTAGCCACTAGACCACCGTGGCGGGGCCACATTAGGTTCATCATCATTGCTAGGGGCTCCGTAAAAAAAAAGCAAGGTTAATTTAAATACGGAGTAAGAGGCACTGATCGTGGACGGGCGCCACCTCCAACAAAGCTTTTATTGTGCGTGCAAAAATATATAGCTTATGAAAAGTGAGGATGGTGAGGGTTATCAACGAAGATATTTTTCCAATTGCACGTGTCACTGATAATAAAATCAGCAAGTTGGATCATTAAAATTCCTGTAGGAGGTGCATTTCTTGTCTGAAAGGGAAATTGATGTGCCGCTGGCACACGTCGAGCCTTGGCGCATCATTACGAAAGTCTCGCAAGGAAACGTCACAGGCATAGTGCGACATAAGCAGCCGCGAAGACGAGTCCCAGAACACGGTCCAGAGCTCTGGCCGCCGTGTACCACTCGCGGGCCACGGCGTTGTTGTACGACTTGTTCTGAACCCCTGCTTCGTCGTCCCCGATGGCCGATCGGCCTGCTGGACAAGGACAGGGCAGCCGGTGGGCCACGAACTCCGATGACTTGACCAGGAACACGGGAAGCGCGCAGGACGGTGCACTCCGGGCCATGTTTGTGCTCAGGACAGTGGTGGCCGCGATGAGGGCGTTCATCAATACCCCGCCTCCAAGAACTTTCACTGCGAAGCGCGGGGCAAGAAAAAAAAGGGGGGCTCTCGATGTTGCCACTACTTGGGAACACGTCATTATATGTACTGTATCTGCTGTTGCTACGCTAAAGTTTGTCGTGCCACGCAAGCACCATTATCGCATTATCAGAGAAAATGGGGTTTATGTTTTATTCCAAGGTGATCTGCATTGTCCACTCTTGGTTAAGCCAAGAGCGTCAGATGACTTCCTGCTGTGCTTACAGCTCCATTACAGCTTTAAAGTATGAATAAATGTGCCGAATTCGCAGCATTACAGTTTATTTTGCCTAAGACAATTGCATAGCTAAGCTGAATGTATAGATGGCTAGGTTCTTTATCAGGATTTACAGCCGTGGCTCTCAAATGGGGGTTCGAAAGCCTCAGGGAGTTCGCGATACCATCTTAAGGAAGCACGAAACCCGTCCTAAGAAAAAAAAAAGGAAACGTGATTTTTTTGGAGGCACGTTATATGCCGTGACAGTGGTTCCTTCTGCTATTTAGTACGCTTCACTGTACAATGCGATTGCACTGCGGTGGAGCTTACAAGTTCTGTTTTGGCATAACATGGCTGTAATGCTATTCTTGCGGTGTTCTACGACACACAAACACGTGAGAATGCTTCTTGTAGGCTCACATATTTGAAAAGCAAACACATCTATAGTATCATGTTGAATATGACTGAAGAAAACCCGACTTATTGACAAGCTGTTTAGATCGAATTGGCGTTGAGAATTCCTTTTGAGCGAGAAATGATAAGACACCTCTGTTAGGCTGCATGTTCCATTACTTACTGCTACAACCCTGCTACAGCATCTCTCATAATTATATCAGGGTTGTGGGACATTAACCCCGACAATTATTACTAGAACTATTGAACTGAGTCTTAGGGAACAATATTTGGCTGAATATGGCAAAGCCCAAGTCCAAGCTAAAACCAAGCCTACAATAGTATAGCGATGCGTTTGACTTCGAGTGATCACTAAGCAAAACTATATTTGCCGAGTGATTCTGAGTAAGCTTCCTGTTCCTCATGTATATTCAGAACTGACGTTTGCCTGTTTGCGTATTTCTTTCTTGAGTTTCTAGCCTCGTGCCAATAAGCTTGCATGTATTTTGCCCCATGTAAACTAAACACTCTACTCACCGATCTTGGGAACGCTGCTCGATCTCGAGACGATGTTGTCCACTCTGTATAGCAAAAGTAGTGACGTCAGCAGGGCGGCTCCAATGAGAGTGATCTTCCGTTCCGACTCAGGCGGAAGCCAGAAGACAAGCAGCGAGAGCAAGACCACGGCGACGGTGGGCAACAGGACCGTGAACAGATGCAGGGACGTGCGCCTCTGGAGCAGCACGTGGAACGAGATTTCGGGATACTCGAACTCGCCCATGTTGAAACTCAGCAGAGTCCTGTTGACCGGGCAGTGCGGTAAGTTTCCGGGCGTCTCAAATTTCTACGACGGTCACACAAACTAGTGCCTTTCACGCAGTCCTTAAAGGGATGCTGACACATAATTTCGCGGACTATATAGCATGCGGGATTGTATCCCGTGAACATGCATATATTATCTGTTAAAAAAACTGTTCTACAGCTTCATAGGAGCTGTAGAACTCTCGTGTTCTACAGCTTCTATGAAGTCCCCGTTGCTGCTTTATGATTATCGAGCCGCCTAATTAGGATGATATCGTTATGAAGCAATACAAACACGGAATAGTGCAGTACCCTCTAGAATGATCAAGATGAAGTGTGCGGAAAGCGCTTGCACGTGCTACTTTTTAGCCATCTTATTTTTCTTACATGTAAATACAAGCTCCACCTTCTCGCAGACGTCACAACATTACAAACATTTCGTTTCAAAGCGAAGCTTTATGTGACTATGTGAATGGAAAATTCGGTCATCCTACGTGCGCAAATACTATCAACATAGTGAATGGGGATGTGCCAGACAAGTAAGGCAAACCTCACTTCTACCCGTTGGTCTGCTAAAAAATAAATAGGGTGGCACATGGGTGGCGAAGGCCAATTATGATTTCTAAAGAAATGTCAACAGCTGTTGAGAAAGACTAATAAACCGTTGGTACTAACCGAGTGATAAACGCCAGGTCCCTACGTTTCAGCCTCGCTGCTTCGTTGTGCGTGGAGTACCTGAGAGCTGATTTTTAGGCAATGAATTAAATGGTTTTACTAGCCATGTAAAGATCAAGAAATTGTGAAGCAGGTTTATCTTAGGAATTTAACGTGTCCTTAGTGCCTGACGCTAGGTCTTTCCTCGGCGTGTAAATACAGAGCAGAGTCGAAACACAGATATTGCATACGATACAAGGACACCCAAACTTCAGCGCCGGAAGTAACGTGCAAAACTCGCTGTGGCCCCACAGGTGAAATCATGGGTGTTTCTTCACGTGTACTCGGCACGAGTGCTGCGCCAACTGTCTCTGTCAGTGGGTGTGGCGGATCAGCAATGAAGTGGTGTTTTTAAAGACGATAGTTTTTCTTGGGGACCTTCGACGCAAAAATTTCTGTCTGTCTGTCTGTCTGTCTGTCTGTCTGTCTGTCTGTCTGTCTGTCCGTCCGTCCGTCCGTCCGTCCGTCCGTCCGTCCGTCCGTCCGTCCATTCATCTATCTGTCTGTCTGTCTGTCTGTCTGTCTGTCCATTTGTCTGTTTGTCCGACCTTAATGGTACTCTAAACGGCACCAAAGGGTCCAAACGATACTCCAAACGGCCGACCCCATCCGCAGCGCCCACAAATATTGCCAAAGGTTCAGCGTTCATACTTTTATGATTGTCAATTAAAAAGCAATTATTGTGCATATCTGAGGCACCCTAACAACACGTCAATATTATGTATATGTGTATATTTACTGGAAAAGGCATACATAAGTAATTCCAAGAACCGTAGCGTATATCACGCTGCACTGACCATGCGACGCTTGCACGAAAAATCAAGTGTTTCCAACGCTTTGCTAAAACGACACGGTGGTGGCACCTACCCGTCGCCTTTAGTTATACACCTTATCACCTCAGAGACGGGCGCGCATGCCGCGCGCTTCATTTTCCAGGATAACTGGCAGATAGCGCTCATGTCTCACGTGTGACGTGACTTGATGCGCTCGTTCGCCTCTGCTACATGCTCGAGGCACTCTCACGCAGCGCTTTTAAAATACCATTGATAGATTTTCTCGGGCCGAACATCAAATAAACGTTTTGTTCACTCTCTCCAGACACAAGACTATCGTCTTTCGACGACATTCGCAGTGTAACATGCAGATACGGGGCCAAATTTTTTCTTGTTTGCGGACACCCAATTTTTAACCTCAAGCTTTAAGACATTCGCTATTGAAGTATAAACAGGTGCATTCCTGGCATGTGCTCACCTCTTGCCTTCTATGGAGAGAACCGCGAATTCTGAGTGTTCCTGTTCGGGAAGGGTAGGCTGGCCTACCAACGTGAGATTGACACTCTTCTCTTGAGAAATTGCGTTTGTGAAGGCCATCCTGCACTCGTGTCGGTCGAACGGAAAGTCACTCATGTCCGTCTGGAACGATTTCGTTTGAAAAAAAAAGAAACATAAAAGCAAACGTTATATCCTGGTTATTGATTGGAAGACAAAACAAACCACCACCACTGAGCTTCAGTTGAACCCTTGGTATCATCCTGGATAATTTTAGTTTTTATTTCAATTTAACTACTCAGAAGTGATTTCGTTGTAAGAAATATCGCTGTGGTGCCGCAAAAGCACTAATGTGACGCAAGCAATTGAACTAATTGATTATTGATATGTGGGGTTTAACGTCCCAAAACCACCATATGATTATGAGAGACGCGGTAGTGGAGTACTCCGGAAATTTCAACCATCTGGGGTTCTTTAACGTGCACCTAAATCTGACTACACAAGCCTACAGCACTTTCACCTCCATCGAAAATTCAGCTGCCACAGCCGGGCTTCAACCCCGCGACCAGCGGGTCAGCAGCCGAGTACCTTAGCCCATAGAACACTGCAGGCGGGCCCAATTTAACTACGTCCAACTTCGTTTGCCAGCACATAGTGTGGTGGTCAACCTCTACAGAACGCAGTTTAGATTAGTAATGTGGAATTCAATTTGATAACTGAACCTGTTCTTTTTTCAAGGAGCCAACGTAGCCATGTGACGCTTTTTTTAAGCTTTCCAGAAGTTCGTCTCTATAAAGAATGCAGTTTTGTACAATCTGGGTATCCAAATTGAAACAAGGTCGTCTTTGTCTTCCGCGATACCTAGCAGGCCATAACTTCAGTGCAATATATACTTGAAAATAAGAAATCGTTCAGCTAGAACTTCAGTGCAGCCAAAGCTGCAACAGCGTCACTTCGCCTTGGTCAAATGAACACCACTAAAAAGAAAAAAAAAACTGCGACGAAGTCTGCCGCACAGGAATGCCTTTGTAAAAACAATCGCTTCGGCAACGTTCTACGTACGACGAGTTTCCAGCATTCCTTCAAGGGCGGATTATTGAGAACTGGCGGAAGATTGCTTCTTTTACCAGTAAGACAATCTGGCCGGCGTTTGTTTCTGTGGTCGTATGATATTACGAATGACAAACAAGAGAGGATACAATATGCCAAAAGAACGGAGACACATCATTGGTCATCCCTCTTTTGGAGGTCGTGGTTCTTATCAGCACTTGAATAAGGTGGCTAGAATATGAAGGTGCCTGCCTCACCTCGCATATCGCGCTGATTGAATAGAGCGGGCACCACGAAGCCTCTCCGGTGCTTGTGAGGGACACCATGGCATCTCTGGGTCTACTCAACTCCAAACTGAAAGAGGCATACACAGATGGCGTTACTTAGTGAAATATTATCAGTTTTCTTGTTGCATAAAAACTGTGTTTACATTACCGTGCCAATATAATTGCATGGACGATACAATAAAAGGTGAAACACGTCGTTATATGATGCACATGAATTGCCGTACTCAGAAACGTGCTATTTCACTCAGAACCTTTTTCTGTCAAAAGCCGGTAACTGCTACATTAAGTTGGCCCAAACTTTTGCTGGCGACGCTGTATTAGTTTTCTATCAGACAGAGTTATATATTAAAAATAACGTAACATAATATTACTGTTCTATTCATTACGTTAATGTTTCGTGTGTTCTTTGTTATCGCTAGCATACGAAGTATTGTCATTCGGTAACTTCCACCACGTATCGACGTGTCGTTTTTCGGTAACTTCCGCCAAGCAATGTGTGTGAAGAAAATGAAGTTGTCTTTGACACTTTTCTCAAAAACACTAAAAATTCCTGACTAAAACTAGACTAAAAACCTCGTATGAATTCGAACAATTTACCGTAAGCCACAATTTCTAATATGAATTCTGTCTGCTTTATAAACTACAACTGCGTGTGCTGAGCAGTATGGCCTATCCCACTGCTTGGGCTTGGTGATCGTAAATGTAGGGTCTGTGCTGTGTTTCCTTGTGTGAATAGCTGTAATCAGGCACTTATGACACGATCGAGCTCAGCATGAGGCTCATTACTCGCCTTGTATTGTTGGGTGTTGACGTCCGGGTGAATGCGGCCGCACAGTGAAACCGCAGAGAAAAGTGCGTGTGCTTAAGAAACACTTGCGAAAAAACGCAGGGCTCTGTGAAAGGTCATGGCCCACATATATATTTTAAAGCACTTACGGAGAAAGTTCGATTATTGATGGCGTCCATATCTCGGTTGAGTTGAGGAACACGTTGTCCACGCCTCCGTAATTCTTGGGATCCCAGCTGACCCGCTGATCTTTCCACGACTAGCAAACGCAGAAAAAGAATGACAGACACGGAATAAAGAGCTTTGTTTTATATTTGTTGTCACGACGCCATAGAGCACTTCAAAATACACATATTTGTCAAAAATAGCGAACATAATAAAGGTATAAAAACTGGGAAATGCTTCCAAGGACCGATATGACCTGTTCCAAGTGCTAATGAGGAAATGAAACGTCTATCAGCTTGTGCATGCTGTGAATTTTATTTATTTATTTATTTATTTATTTATTTATTTATTTATTTATTTATTTATTTATTTATTTATTTAATACATACTGCAGACCATGGTTAGGTCTAAGCAGGGGGGCACAAGAAGATAAAATGCAAAAATACAAACAATACAAGCAAACAAGGCACTTATACATGGGGTAATTCATTCCACTCTTGTATCGTACGCGGAAAAAAAGAATGCTTGAAGGTGTCAGTAGCAGCAAAATATGGGGCGAAAGCATTCGGGTTGTGGTGCCTAGTAGGTCTTGTTTGTAACGGTGACAAGAACGGAGATGGGTCAATGGACAGTGCACCGTTACTTAGTGAAGAAAGGAAATCAAGACGGAAGCACTATCTCCTGGATTCAAGGCCGGGGATTTTGTTAGCAAGCATTATTTGTGAGGGAGAATCAGTACGTGAGTATTCAGAGTAAATAAACCTTACAGCTTTTCTCTGAATTCTTTCTATTTTACGGATGTTGTGATTAGTGTAGGGATGTTGTAATTGCTCTATGAAAGCTCATACGTCCCATGTGCCATGATATAGGTACAAAGTAGGTTACTATATAACACTCTCTTTCTTTCAAAATGCCATATCTAAGAAGTACTCTGACTCGTTCCGTTCGAAATCGAGAAACAGACACATTTCAGTAATATGCGGAATGCTTGGCTTTTAATGTGTGATATCTGTATAGGCTCCGGTAATCTGGAGGGTGTTGGATGCCGACGAGTGAGTTTTATGGTTACATGGAGGTTGCGGGTTGCATGCAATATGTACAAATTTAGCAGTTCCGTTGCTGATGCGGAAATATTTCACTTGGGTTGTAGGCGTGTTTTTGCATGCCGTGCTGGCCAACATACAACGAGAGTTTCGCACAGTGTGGCAACGTTGCGTTAAAACATGTCAAGCACCAAAACTCTGGGGGAGTTAATAAACAATAAAGTCTATATATAGAACAGGTTAACACGTAGCATGCCGATACTTATCACAAATTATCTATAGCAATTCCCAAGCAGGTCGATATTTCTCACCAGGCAAATGAACGCGTTCAGGAACAGGTGACGACGCCTCGGTGTCTGAAAGAATGATCAGTGCGATGGTGGTAAACATGAAATAAATTGTTACGGAGGAACTAGAAACACTCCTGATTGAAGTTTTATTCGCGTATCCTCTTTTATTCAGATAGATAAAGCGAGAAACAGTTCATGATGAAAACTTGGGAAGAATGTTTCCATGTTGTTTTCATGTTGCTTATGTTGCTTCCCTCATCCTTGGGAACAATATCTACTAAACGTCTGAGTGCACATGTTTCTGTTCATGTATACAGTTTACACTCAACGAGCCCGAATTCTTGGAGAGTTGTCGCGTACAATAACAGTGTCACAACTGGCACTTAGTGGTAATTGTAATGACCAGAAGGTTAATTTGTTAAGCAGGTTGAAAGTATCTCGGATAAATCGACTTTTCAGATGGCCGTATTGAGTCACTGTGTTTACAAGGTATTGCTAATTGCTATGCTGTCATATTACGTTCCCCGTTTTTCAGGCTTGTTGCTCTTGACTGTCACTTTCTGTGACTCTTACATTCATATGGGCCCCAACAAGCAAATTGTTGAATTTTACCTGTGTTAGAACGCTTCGAATAAACATCGCTTCAGTAATCACGATTACAAAAGACCTCCTACCAGACTGGGGACACTGGCGGCTTTCAGTTCGAATGAAACAAAGGTCGTTTCATTGGCGGTGGCTTGGGGCCTTGCTGTCCGCCTATATTTGGCGGTGTTCATGATCTTATCCTTTATATGCTTCATTTGCTCCACACGGTTGTCGAGCGCTGTAAAGAAGCGTTGCCACTTGCTGAGGAATAATCACCGATAAACAAAAAAAAGTGTCATGAGCACAATACTGATCGTAACGACACCTGTGTTCACACCTTCCTGTTCATAAGGCGCTTTCGTGCTTGTTAATCAATAGTATTTGCAATCGAACAATTATTATCTGAACTTATCTAGTAAGCACTGATATTTTAGGCCCATGAGCCTTGGCGGGCATATCTCTGCCTCTTTTTAAACTACGTACTCCTCAACCACAGTGCAGGGTAGCATACCGAATCCTATAGCATCTGGTTAACCTCCCTTCCTTCCTCTTTTCAATCTCTCAACGCTCAAAACAATCATACTATCTTTACTAAGAAAATAATCACCAAACGCTATGCCACGCCACATACGTAGTTTCAGTTTGGTTCATATACGCACAATGTCCAACATCTAATAAACGAACACCCGGCATTGTTGATGCCAACAACGGTTACAATGAACCGCGACATTTCCACTAAACATTGACGTGACGAAATCGTCCAGTACACTGCAAACTATGCTGACGTTAAAGGAAGGAAGGAAGGAAAATAGGAGGAAAAGAACGGCAGGGAGGTTAACCAGCCTATAGGCAGCCGGTTTACTACCCTGCGCATGAGAGGGGGATGGGGGAGACGAAAGATAGAAAATTTGAGGGCGTGTTACTCATGAGTATGACCTTTAGGGAGCATGCGTCAATTCACGCTAAACGTGAAGCTAAATTTAAAAATGCAGCACTAAAGTGATAACCAAACGGTCACCTTTAAAACTTAGTTACCACTAGAGGGGGACAGCTCTGCAAAAGTATAAAACTCAGCCTATTATTTCGCTTGTTTAAGGACAAGTGTGTGTTGCAATGTACCCAAATAAATCGGCCTTTTAGCATTTGAAAAGGAGTAGCATTGCAAATAGTAATGTATTATTGAATTCAGGCTCACTTTTGCTATCGCACAGCTTCACAGCTATAGAAGACAGAAAGATGCTTACAGCTCTTTCAGGTTCATGACCATAGATACATTTACGCATATTTTGCTGACTACTCACCTACTCTTCACAAAGGATATTGACATTTCATATACCTATCTTTTTTTTTTTCATTTACTTGGCTTCCCAAATATTACAATTCAGAAATCGCAACGAGAACTCAAAACCTTATCAGAAACAACAGGCTTACCTTGGACAAGACATAAAAGGAAGAGACACATAGCGAGTAAACATTTTCGCAGCTGGAGAATTCGCATCTCGCGTGTCGACCGTCAGCAAGCAATTGACGCCATCTTGTTGGGGGTGTTACCGCCATTCCAGTATCTCGGATCGTCTTTCCTTGTCACTGTTCCAAGTGGGGCGTTGCGGTGGGTCATCTCGTGTTCAACGTGGGCCTTTCCTGTCTGGCTCAGCGGATACCGTTCAGTAAGGCTTTTTGTAAGCATGGGAAAGAGACACAAGGCGAATCCAAATTTGACAAATAAGAACACCGAAATTGTTTCGTTTGTCCGCAAAGGATTGTGTCTTCCGTGCTGTGTGCGACAAGTAATCACTGCGCTAGCTCAAGGCTCGTTGAAAAAATCTATTTAGAAGGAAAGTGTCATGGACATCAGCAAATTATGTCTTCAGAAAATTATGCCTCCTGAGGCACAAATTTAAAAAAAAGCACCATCTGACGTAAAACTGCTAAGCTATACCACCTTAATCAGAACCAAGCTAGAATATGCATGTATCGTTTGGGATCCGCATAGAAAAACTAATATCAATAACCTCGAGAGAGTGCAGCTAAATGCAGTTAGGTTTATATTTAACCAATTCTCAAGGCAGGATTTACCCACAGAACTTATAAATGCTAACCACATTGAACGGCTCGATTTGAGAAGACAGAAGCACAGACTGGAATTTATTAAGCTAGTTTACACGAACAAGTTACCACTAGAGTCATCTGTATATCTGTCACCTCTATTAACTCGAACCACTCGTTGCCGTAGACAAGATGCATTAACACCCTACTTCGCGAGAACCAACATATTTAAAAATTCTTTTTTTCCCTCGTACAATAACTGAATAGAACTGCGTTATCGAATCGACGCCAAAATGCTGATTATTATTCATTTGTTTGTATAGCATTCCACCAAACGTATTGACTCTATTTCTGTATAAGTGTTTTTGCTTCGTTTATTTTTTTTTGTTTTGAGCATATTCGCTGTTCTACAATTTTATTTGCCCTTCCTGCTTGCACTTCGTGTCCGTAGTTTTTGATAAATAAATAAAATAAATAAATAAATGTATTCAGCAGCGAAGCTGGCAGCAATGACACATTATCTAAATCGCATATCACAAGCACGGATAGCGTGATAGTGGGCAGGTCATCAACCGCAATTAGTTACCCTGCCATTGAGAATAATTTCCTACGCGTCCCATTTATACGGTTGCTCAAAAATAAGTATGCCCTTAAAGTAACATTCACATCCGTTACTCCCGCTACCCCAGCGGGATAAGACCGTAGTCGGGAGGTTTAAGTCCTTCTTTCGCGTTACCTCGTGAGCGAACCTTGTATATGTCTGATACCCAAATAAAGCATATCCGTATCTACAAGTTTCAAAAGAATGATCAGTTACATGTAGAGTTGTCGGTTTAAACCGAGCTGTCACAGATCATTTACGATTGTGGTCGCTTAAGCTTGATCTTTTCCTACGACTGGTAATCACTCAAGTAGAATGATTAACCTGGATCGCAAACAGCTTTTGCGATGTCTAAAGAAGCGTTATGGCACGCATAATGCATCTTCGTAATTTGTGAAGGGGAAAGAGAAGAGGTGCTTACAATGGTTATGTTTGGACTGAACACATATGGTTATCCTGCAAATGGTGTTCATGTGGTGCATGTGTGCCAATGCGCGTAACGTCACTTGTATCTCAGAAGTAAATGTGTACTAATCATCAAATTTCATCACCTCCTTTGAAGTATGAGGGCATAGATGCCTTGGATCAATTCAACTGAGATGAGTGAGTCTTAGTGGCTAACCCGCACATACCCAATGAAGATTAGATAGAACTACTGTTAAAGCACTGTGGCCAGTGAACTTTACTAGCGTTCACATGTTTTCCAGTTTCGAAAGTCACTGTTGCTTCCCTCATCCGAACGAACTGATGGTTCATGCCAAAAGACCTATAGCCGCGAATCCGAGCACGATGAAGAACAGCCGGTCGAGAGCTTGCGCCGCTCGAATCCAGCGCCTCCTCCGATCGTGAAATTCGTCGAATGCCGGTGGCTGTTGCGCGTCTTCTGGTCTCGCCGATGTCTCCGGTTCTTGGTCGCACAGGCAAAGAATGTCCGCGGCTTTTCCGGACAGAGCCCGGTGCAAGGCGTCAGGAACCTTAACACCCACCCTAGAAGACAGCAGGTTCAGGGCCAAGACGTTTCCTGTTGCGACGACCACTTGCACCACCGTCGCTATACCAAGGAAGAGCACTGCGTGAAGGTGAAGTAGGTTCTGCAGACAACCAGTACGTGTCCTGGCTACAATATTCAAGACGTTTTAATTATTTGGTATGGGAACTCTAACAGACAAAGAACATACAACGTCAAGCGCTTGCCTTCGTATCTTCGTTCTTTGTGTATTAGCGTATACCACAACCAAATCATAAAGACACAGCCGTGTTCACATACCTAAATGTTTACGTTTCTATTGAAGACATCACTGACGCTCATATAGCTATGCCTAATGGCATGCAATTGTTCATAAATGACAGATAATTGTTACTAATATATTTGTGTCAAGAAGCCCTGATAGAAAGCTTAGCCATCTCTAAAGAAGAGTTGTCAGGTGAAAAAAAAATTCTCCTGATACCGAATGTTCTCCTAGAGACAAATTTTCCTGCAGCTGTAAAACCAGGCGGTTAATGAATTTATATATGAAACTGCAAAGTCCGGCTCTAGAAGGTGCTACCGAAGTGTCTATTTTCATCCGCTGTGCCACTATAGAGGACGTGCTAATGCACTGATGCAAACTCGACTCTATGCCCACGCTTAAAATACAAAACGGGAATCCTCACTTATGTTCAACGTCGCCACTGACAGCCCGAGACGGGCCGTCGTCCTTTCGAGCATAAGCGCCAAGATTAGGATGTTTAGTGCTGCTAGCGTAAGCCGGCGGTCGGATACTGGTGGCATCCAAAAGGCGGAGAACATCACGAGCGTCACGGCCACCAGGGGTACGGTGATGGCGTAGCGGTGACGCTTCAAGGACCTCCGCAAATGGAACGACACGTTCAGGAACGGCCTGCGCCAAGAATGTTGAGTCAGCTTTAAGCACCATAACGTAGTCATCAGTGATCCTGGCTACGTAATTATAGTCCAAGAGGTCTCAGCTCCGGCATGGCTAGAAACATTCCCCGTTTTTTACGTGCATTATAATCCGCTATTTATGTAGCTCCTCCCCTCTGTAACGCTTCTTGTAAACCCTAAGGGTAATAAGTAAATAAATAAATAAAAATAAATAAACCTTTCCCACGTGGGTGAGACAGGAAAACTTTCTTAATATTCACTGAAATGCTAATCTGGTATATCATTCGACTTTTTACTTCAAGTATTGGGGATTACTACAAGAAATACGGCAGTCACACATGGATTTAAATAATTTGTTTACTGACAAACACACACATAATTCACAAAATTTAATCACAAGGTTTCAGGAATGTGAGTAGCCCTCAGAAACGCCAAAGCAGCTATTTTGTGCCACACATCACGCGAACACTGCTTTGCCTTGGGCCGAGAAAATTCCGCAGCCACAAGTTAAAGCCGAGTTACCAATAAATTGTTGCCTTCAGCTTGTATTTTTATGCGTTGTAACTGGAGCACTTACACAGGACCTGTTTTAACTTCACCGAAGTGTTACATGGAGTGCAAGTAGGAGAGTCCGATTGCTTGATCTACTGCTTAAACTAGTTCTTGATCTACTGCTTAAACTAGTGTGTGTGTACTGTCTCTCTTCGTCCGTGTCGTTTTCGCGCCTTAAGCTGCAAATATGTTAAACCAACAAGCCCAGTCTGCTATTCTTACTTAGTTCTTTAAGTAACGTCGAGTCTAAGCCGGTGAATTCATGTTTCATCTCTGCCTTTCCCTCACTTTATTCTCTCTCTCTCTCTCTTCCTGGATAGAGATGTTTGCAAGAAGCACCGCGGGAAATACTTGGCGTGTGAAAACTTTGTTACAGATTTTTTTTATTTCTCCTTTGTTGTTCTCTTATAGAGGGAAGCATCAAACTTTTACATGTGTGGTTAGCCTTGAGAGTGAATGAAGGAATGTGTGAGTGAGTGAAAGAGAAGAAAGGAAAGTTATAAGTTATGCTTGCAAAACATGTCCCATATGCTCCTGAAGGGCTTCAGAAGTGTTTATAATGCTGCACTCGCCTGTTGTACTCTGTGTAGTTGCCGTACGAAATGTCGGTCATGATCCACTCCGTGTTTTCGTCTTCCTGCATTTGATCCCAGACGTCCTTGCCTTCCACCAGCGCCACCTCGCTGCTCTCGTGGGTATCCAGCGTAACCACCCGAATCGTACAAACCTGCAAACGCGTGCATTGCGAGACTTACATCAGTGCATTGCAATACATTCGTGGGCAGCCCACGTGGAAACTTCCGGTCGAGGTTAAAAATTCTTGAGCTGGCCTTTTCTTGAGGTTGTCTTTTGGGCAGTCTTAAGTACCAAGCTTTTCAAGATTTATGACCCTCAATGTGAACGTACTTAGAGGGAGTCCAATACTTCAATGCATGTTGGAAACGTTTGTCCCACTATTCATTATATGGCTGTGGACCAACAACATTATTATCTGACGTTAACGTCCCAAAATAACGATGTGATCGTGAGAGATATTGTAGTGAAGGGCTCCGGAAATTTCTACCATCTGGTGTTTTTTGATAACGTGCACTGACCTTCCGCAGTACACGGGGCTCTACCATTCAGCCTCCATCAAAATGCAACCACCGTGGCCGGGATCAAGCCAGCGATCTTTCCGGTCAGCAGCCGATCATCGTAGCCACTGTTCCACCGTGGTGGACTATGGGCCAACAAGTCACGAATAATGAAAACGAAGACAAGAACAAGGATTTTTTTTATTTATTGTTCACCTATTTGTGTGACAGCTGGAATTCTAAAGTAAAACGAAGCAAATTGCACAGATAACATCTTTGAGCGTAGGTGATCCGTACCTACGCGTGAACAGGAATGATGTTTGGATGTAAAATAGCGGAGACCCCTGTTCTGTGGTTTGTCAGTGCATGTTAAAAAACAAAGGATGGTTGAAATTTCCGGAGCCCTCCACTACAGCGTCTCTCATAGTCATACCGCGGTTTTGGGACGTAAAACCCCTGATGAATATCAGTCAATCAATCAATCAATCCATCCATCAATTGTTTAACGGGCTCTAGCACAACTATGAGTTACTAGTGAGGCGCATGCAAAATTAAAACAAAAAATAAAGAATACAATACAATACCATCTAAAAAGAAAAGGTTAGAAAATAAAAAATGAAATAAAAAGAGCGAAAACGCACAAAGAAAAATCAGCTCAATATGGAAAGAATAAAAGACAAGAGAATAATGAAATGGCAGTGGAAAATAAATGGGGAATATACACAGCTATGTGGAACGTTTCCTGAAAAGGGAAGAATCTATGCGTTGTGAAAAACTGTCTTAAGACAGTACAAAGCTGAGATAATAACAATGAAAGTGGACTGTGAAAAATATGAACATCATAAAAGTTAAGATTATAAAGACTTTGTATTCTATGAACGGTAGAGTGTTCACATAATAATAACATTATTATTATTATTATTATTATTATTATTATTATTATTATTATTATTATTATTATTATTATTATTATTATTATTATTATTATTATTATTATATTATTATTATTATTATTATTATTATTATTATATTATTATTATTATTATTATTATTATTATTATTATTATTATTATTATTATTATTATTATTATTATTATTAAAACGAACAGAGGACGAATACCTGTTCTCCGGTCAGAAATGTCGCACTGTGGGCGGGGCATGGCATTTTGAACTTGGCAGAAAAGCAAAACCATGCAGTGCCGTCTGATTGGATAGTGAGCAAGTGCCTCCAGTAGTCAAAATCGTGACCCATCCTGCACACGCGGGCAAATGTTAGCTTCAAAAATAGAGATAAACACAAGGAGGAGGGCGCTTGAGCTTCCCCTTTAAGAGCTGAACGCGATAGTGATGTCCTGTCCCGATGTGCGTACATCAAACACTTAGTGCATAAAATTTATTCGAGCTCTCTGTGCACCCACTGATTGGCCTTAAGGAACTAGGTGCAGTAATATGTGTGCCTCGTGTAGTGGGTGACCGGCTTCAAACAATGACATCAATGACTATCACAGTCAACTCGGCCACCCGCCCTATATCTTGCCTCCTGCCCGCACAGCTCACCGCACCACTCATTTCTTTCATGTCGGCCGGCCACGCGCTAGTACCACGACATTTTCCTTCTCCTTCTTTTTTCGTGCAGCTTCCGACTGGAATGGCCTTTCCAGTGATCTCGTCACCATAATGTGCCACTCAACATTTACACAAAATGTCACTCGTTTCTTTTCAAATTGAATACTTTACATTGTTCCTTTTTGTGCCACTAGTTCTCACTTTGTCTACTTTTTTTTTGGCAAGGTGTTGCGCCTGTTATATGTATACTGATCCTGTACATGTATTATTTTATTTCTGTATTGGTTACCCCTGTTCATACTTGTACCCATCCTGCATATGTATACATTTGTTGTATGTTTCCCACCCCTTATGTAATACCCCCTCTAGGGGGTCCTTAAGGTAATAAAGTGAAGTGAAGTGAAGTGAAGTGATTGTAATAACCACATGTTCTGACGCCCAATGGCAATGCACGCTTGTACTACGCATTATTATTGCAATATTTTACGTTGTATTTCAAACCACGTATTCAGTAGGACGCGTCTGTTTGTAAAGCATGAAAGTTACTTTCACTGCCTTTTCAAGCAAAGGAAGTTATTTTCACTGCATTCGCAAACAGACGCGTGACTTTGTCATAGAACGTACGCTTGCCACGCAAGCGATCCGGATTCGATATTCACTCTCACCCGGGTTTTTTATTGTTCATTTTATTTGCATCATTCTCAATTTTTTGGTCACAATAAGATGATGATTTTTCGCTTACAACCAACAACTTTGAGGCCTACACCGAGGCCGGAATTTCTTCGCAACGAGCTCCTTCGCAATATCGCGTTAAAATGGGTTAGGCAGGTCAACTTCATAAGGAATGGTTCGCTACTTTACAGTGCAATTATTGTGGGAACAGAATCATACGTAGAATAACAGATAGAGAGCGAAAAGTAGACTGCCGTCTAACGTTTGGCTGCCCATTAGGGTTATGTATATCTCTATAAGTGTGCGTTCTGTTCGTTGTAATAATTTTACAGCAATGTATACGTTGTTCTATTTCGATAGCAACTATATGGACACTCTAGATTTTCACCATTGCAGTCGCTGTCACCATCATGTTCTATAAAAACTCCAAATCGTCAACCTCGCCAAGAACGTCCCTCTTCAAATGTTCGTCAAACTTACGCGTTGATGACGTCTAGGTTGGGCGACCACATTTCTCTCTCGTGCAAGTGGAGGAAAGTCCTGTTGTCGAACTCTTCCGGGTTCCAAGTCAACCGGTGGTCGTGCCAGGACTGCGACGCACATTTGTAGTTGTTTGCGAATGCGCGCCACTGGCAGAAAGTTGCATTTAAAATGTTTTCGCTTGCTTTAAGACTCAAGTCGTTTATTCTTTCCTTAGCAGAATTATCCAACCAAAATATCTTCAGACACCGTACCCGCCACGGTGGCCTATAGTGGCATGGCGCTCTACTATTGAACCGAGGGTCGCGGGATCGAACCCCTGGCCGTAGCGGTCGCAGTTCGATCGAGATTAAATGCCAGAGGCCCGTCTACTCATCTTTAAGGGGGTGTTCACAACACCAGATTACCTAAAGTTACGCAGACCTCCACTACGATTTCCCTAATAAATAAGTAGTGGTTTGAGGCATAAAATCCAGATAATTATGACATCTTCTGCCACCATGTACAGATGATGTCTAACTTTTGATGACCATGGGACGCAATAAAAGCTTAATATTCCTTATGCTACGGCAGCCAGTATTCATTGTAGATTTCCGGCCTGTTCCAAACGCTCTAACAACGTCTGCAGTACAGTTCAAGCGAATGTAGTAAAAGTGCTGCGAAATTCAGCGTTTTTTTTTTTTTACATAGTGGTTTCTAAGCTTTTGACGCCGATTGTACCAGTTGCGGATCCTTTCGATCAATAAATATGTATGCGAATTTCTTATGCTGCATGTTCCACTTAAAGGCAGTTTGTGCTATGTCAAGATATACAGCCTGCATACAGCTTGACTAATTTGAATGGAACACCCAAAATGTTTTCTTTTAATTTCGAGAGAAGGAAATGAATATTCACGTAACTGCCAATGAACTTCATCGGCGCAGAGTTTTATTGTGCATTTAGAAAGAACGGCTTTTGCAGTCTGTGTTCTTAAGTATTTTACCACTGTTTAAAAACATATGGCATTTCGTTTAATACACTCCATGACAGTGCGTGGCTTGGTGGTTCCACCAAATTTCATGATGCACTTATTTTCGCTTCCTTTAAGAAAGTAGAGATAAATATTTATAGGTGGAGTTTAATGTCCGAAAACCACGGTATGATTCTGACAGGTGGCGAAATGCAGGGCTCCGGAAATTTCGACCACCTGTGGTTCTCTGTTGTGCACCTCCAGCATTTGCGCCTCCATCGAAAGCATGGCCACCGTGGCAGGTATTTTATCCCGCGAGCCTCGGCTCAGCAGTCGAGCACAGCAGCCGCTAGACTAATGGTAGAGATTTCGTATGTTGGCACTAAAATGTTTGCCATGCTATGCTACGTCACACACTTGGGCGTATAAATGTGTTTTGCCTTCGTATTAAATTCGTTTTCACTTGCGTCTTTTTATTGCTGTCCCAGACGTGCAAACAACAGTACGACGCATTTCGGCCTACCGGGCCAGACAACTACCCTTCTATGTTTTATCTCTTCTACAATCAGTGCTGTGGGATACCTATTTTAGGCTAATTCCTCCTACAGCAACACTACCAACACCACGACTTTTACATTTGCGCAGAGTACGTAAACGGTATGACAAAATATCGTAATTAACGATGTTAATTTTTGTGTTTCACTATTATTTATTAGGTTTCGGACCTAAAACTTTGACTCACCGCGCACATCCAGAACAAGCCCGTAAACCAGTCGCTTTCGCCTCTCTGAAAAATAAAAGAAGCCACTCGTTCGTGTCTGTTTCAACTGCACACTCCCACATAAAACGAATAATAATGAAAGCAGAGACTACCTGTGGTATAGACGAAAATATTTCAGAGGTGCGTGGACTTATAATATGTTTGTGTGTAGGATATAATGGTGAAGAATACATCCCTTAAACATTTTCGCAGGGTTACTTATGCATTCGCCTAATACGGGTGTCTCAAAATCACCTCAGCTGGCCAGCCGTATATCACGACATTCATTCCGACATGGTCTGGGACAGTGACAAAAGCTGGAGCAGGAGGGGGGGGGGAGAGTTAGCACAAAATGTCACCTAACGTTGTCATTTAAAAGAAACCTTTTTTCCATTTCCTAGGTATGGGTTATTTAGGACGGGGATTCGACATCAATATTGACAGTAATTTCCAGAATTACGAAAATTCAGAAATAGAGCTTTTCTTCGGCGGTCATCGTCCGTCAAATGGTGACTGCATAGGGTGCCTCAGTCGTTAGCAATCGCAATATACGAGAAATGAATGGGAATATCAATTTGCAAAGTCACAAAAACTATTCCTCCAGAAGCCGCGGGCCACCAGCGAGAGGTCCACGTGCCCCATGTTTGAGAACCCCGGCCTAAGATTCCTTGGTGGCAAAATCCAACCAGTGTGGCTATTTTATCATCATTGGAGCTTGAGTAGGCGCGTTAGTAACTGCACATTTCGTTGATGTTTCGTGTGATTATGATGATGATGATTGCTGAAAAAGAATCATATTTCAGCCCAGCGTTAATGTTGGCAGCTTATTAACCACCCAGTTCTTACGCAGTTCACACATGTGGTGTGCCGACTGGTGTAATTGTACGATTCGGCCGTGCAAAATAAATCTAATAGTGTAACTTCTTGCCCGACATGTCCATGATACAGGTTCATATTTCAATGCTTTTTCCGAGGCCTTGCGTGGCTCTGTAGTAGAATACATGACTGCCACGTGAGATGCAAGGGTTTGATTGCAGTTCGAATGCTGATCTCCATTAGGTGACGTAGTCTTTTTTTTTTGCAAGCAGTCTTTTTCTTCTGATAAGTCACTTAATAAACCTCTTAATAAAATGGTCTCGTTCATAGTCGTGAGATGGAACTACAAAAAACGTTAGGTTTGATCTTTTTTTTTTCGTTTTTAACACCAATGCATAATTGTGTTACGGTTAACATTTAAAAAGTAAGAGCCGTCAGTGTTGATCGTAACGTTATGTATCAGAAACACATCCATTGGAGATTAGGAACATGTTCCCAGCTTTAAACGTGGGCCTGTGTGAACTGAAAAACTTACTGTAGTGAGAGGTGGACGCAAATAAGCCTGCACCGCAGTTGAGGATGACGTCATAGGTGAGGCGGCCTTTGGAGAGCGTTGCTGTGCGCATGAACGTGAATATTTCACTACAAGCGATTGGCTGCCACACTTCCGGTGTCTCGGCGAAGCTTCTCCAAACTTCTTTGAGTTTTTTGTTTTGTTTTGTTTTTTTTCCTTTTTGCTATTATTGAGAAATACTGCAGAGTATTTTGACTTCAAGCAATATTTACAAAGCCCTGAAAATTTTGTTACCTGAGGCAAGTCGAAAGCAAAAGAGGACTAAGTAACTTCTGGGCATTCAAGGTTTTCCCCCATTATCACATTCATCCTCATCATCACCAACACCTTCCCTCTACTTTCTTACAACCCTGTTACCTCACCCTCTTCTCTAACGCTGAGTAGCAGGTAAAAAAATTGATTCAGGCTGACCTCTCGGCTTTTCTATCATAATATACCTCTTTCCCTCTCTGGGCAGAAAGAAAAAGAACGTAACGATACATGAAAACCAAGAATTTTACAGCTGTAAACATTAAATAACCGCATGCAACAGTGGAGTTCAAATACAGCGATGTAAGGACTCTACCCAAGCATTTTATTCAATTGTGTAATAAACGCTTCCCCGTTGGGGCCATCGCCAACCTCTTTCGGTAGTTTGTTCCCGGCGCTTATGGTTCTCGTCAAAAAAAGTAATACTTAACTTACATTCGGCAATACAGTTATGATTGCTTGCTTACAGATCATGTAGTTATATAGTAATGATTCCTTACCACGTGCATGATGTTCTTGAAGGAAAAGTCAACATTTATGATGGTCGGCTCAGATGTGTTGTTTGTCGGCCTTGACGTGGTGTCGTAGTTCCTCTCTTGAAAGAGGACCCTCCGAAGGCGCTCGACGTCCAGTTCGTAATTACTGCTGCCTTTGTTTCCTGCAAATGAAACCTCTCCTTTTTTTCCTCTTTTGTTCTCTTTCTTGAATACCACGGGATCTTATGCAGGGAAGACTTGAAGATATCTCTGGGTAACCCGGCATGCGCAAGTGCAGGCGGACGACAACAGAAAAGAATAGACAAAGACAAGCGCAAACTTTCAACTGAATTTAATTCTTCGTCATCCTTCATATATATAGTCACCTAACATAATCAAGCGGTCGCAAGGTCAGAACCAAACATCTTACAGCAGGCCGCGCAAAAAATCACGCTCACGATCAGATATTCCGGTTCAAATATTCAAATATTCTGGTATCAAATATTCTGGCTGGCTCATTTTTCTGGTGACCCAGAAATATGAACCAACTCACCCAGCTACACGTTTTACTTGATATGTTGACCACAGGTTTTTTATCGTGAGATATTACAGTGCTAAACAAAAAAGTTTTAAATTAGAAGTAGTTCCTATTAAAAATTATTTAAAAATTGTGATAGAAGGAAGTGAGCAGGCACGTGTCCTCTATGGTGGGCCGTTCATTTCTAATCAAACACATTAATAACACGGTAGTGGAAAAATTGATTAGTAACAATATTAATGAAAAGAGAAACAAGTAGAAATTGAAGGGCTCACTTTATTTGTTTGTTCTTTAGACACAATAATAATTAGAAGTAGCAGGTAATGACATCACGGGGAACGTGTGGGAGTAATATTTGAAGTAATTGTGATGTAAACGGGAAAAAAAAGAGTGGACGAAAATATAACTTGCCGGTGGTAGGGACGGAATTCTCGACCTTCTAACAACGCTTCCGACGCTGTACCAATGGAGCTACAGCAGTGGCCATCCCATCACCGTTACACTTTGTGGGGTATATATATTCGCATTTTCAAGGTGTTAGTGTTAGTGAGCGCTACTAGTAGCCATGGCGGTGACAGTGTGGAGCCCTTTTCCTGCCTGTTGGAGCCACGTAGGACGTGACCTTATTACGAGCTGGCAGCTGACCAATAATCCCTCGCACTATACCTGAAGGTATCAAGTATGCCAGAACGAGACTGGGTGAAGGTAAGAAATTTAAATTTAAGGGATGTTTTCGTTTAATTAAGGGTTCATTAGTAATTAGTAAAGTAGATTTAATTGTCGCTCTCACTAAAGGGTTACGCTGTTTTGCATAGACTATAAACAACGCAGCATCGCGATTTGTCACTGCTGAAATGGTCACGTGGTCCAGCCAAAGTTATTGATTGATATGTGGGGTTTAACGTCCCAAAACCACCATGTGATTATGAGAGACGCCGTAGTGAAAGGTCCGGAAATTTCGACCACCTGGGGTTCTTTAACGTGCACCCAAATTTGAGCACACGGGCTTACAAGATTTCTGCCTCCATCGGAAATGCAGCAGCCGCAGCCGGGATCCGATCATGCGACCTGTCGGTCAGCAGCCTAATACCTTAGCCACTAGAACACCGCGGCGGGGCGTCCAGCCAAAGTTACTTTACTAACGTGGCTACCAAGGTGGACAGGCGTCCTTACCGTTTCGTTCAGCCATGACACTGATGACGACTTGAGCGAGGAAGACGAGAGATTTGTGAGCTTTCATCGACGATTCTTCAGCTGGCACCTTGCGAGGAAAAAAAGAAGCGTACTGTGCCACCGAGGCAACTCACTGACCTCGCCGTTGGAGGCGTTCGTTCGTCTGTCTTTGGTTTCCGCGATTGGTACGCACTGTACCGTATCTTCCACTCATTAGGTCGCCTTCCACCTCCAAGAGCTCGGGGAGACCGCACCGTATTTAACAGCGAGTAATACGCATTGCTATTTCGTGAAAACCACGCCGGGGTTGTTCAATAGCCATGGTGCGGGGTTTACAGACTTGTAAAATTTCTTGCGCACTTCATAATTACAGTCATCATATCCCCATCCGCTACTTAGGCCTACTCCAGGTACCACATTTGAGCTCTGTCCCGACATAGTATATTAATGCCATCTCCCTTTTCCTTCGAACAATTTTCCGTGTGGATTAATTGTGTGCGTTCTATGCGCCCACTGCAGATTCAAGCAAAAAAATTCCCATTCTGCGTTATTTCTGTGATAATGCTGCTTTGGGAGGCGGGGTCAAAGCATTTTTCAAGCATTAATGGCTGCTTCGCACACATAATCTCTCCTTGCACACATAATCCTGTGTTCATTTCTAATGTTGAAATAAATAGGATGATTGATTGATTGATTGATTGATTGATTGATTGATTGATTGATTGATTGATTGATTGATTGATTGATTGATTGATTGATTGATTGATTGATTGATTGATTGATTGATTCCGCATCAGATCATAGGAGTGTAAGCCGGCAAAATGCAAAAAGATGCCCATTTCCGTTTGTACGTATGTTTCCACTCCTGTAATAGCCCTCCAAAAAGACTGACAGTATCAATAAATGAAATAAATGAAATGAAAAGGTGGTGGGTTTGCTTCCAAGTCACGATGACCACATCTTCATGAGAGTTCAGTCAGGACGCTTTTGCCCAAGCATCAGGAGCACATGGAAAAAAAAAACATCAAATAAACGAAATGACATTAGGGTTTGCGCAATTAGTGCGCCAAACAGGAGCACAAAAATTATTGAAGCTTTATTTTTCTAGCGTGCAGTATAGGTCACTGTAAATATCAACATCCTACTTTTCTCAAATCAGCATAGGGTAAAAGAATATTCCACTTCACTTTTCAAAAGGCTGATGTAATACAGAAGATAAATCAAGCTCTAGGTCCTTCTTATGCAGTCATTTTTTGTGTAGCTTTAGGGTCGCAAACGTTGTTTCATCAAACACGATGTCCTCTTTTATTCAACAGTGATACTTACCATATAAACTCAGCTCATCAGCTACACTTCGCGCGTTTTCCTTCCTTCCTTGTAGGCTAGTAAATGTCTTCTAGTTAACACCCTTGTCTTTCCCATTACCTTTATTTATTTTTCCCTTTCTGTTTCTCGCTCACTCGCGTCTCCTAAAATAGACTGCGCACTGCACCAGAAAGGAAAGGGGCAACGGTTAAATTGCACGTAGTGTGGCATCAACGACGCCCCTTGCTGTGTTCCTGTCGTGCTCACTCTAGGCCGTCGCAGCGCGTAGAGTCGAACGCCTTCGCTTTCATCGTGAAAACCCCAACTTTTAAATCTACGATGAGGTGTGAACTGCCACCACTCATTATGTGCTGCCTGGCAGCGTGCATCGCTGTAGCCAGAAGTGGTAAGTCATCCTAGAGGAAAGACTGAACTCATACGATTGTTCATTTGTAAGCTTTCTCTCATTTGTGACCGGTTGCGATGTTTTTTAGGGGAAGATATTTAACCTGTCAATGACAGTTTAGTCTAAGCAGCCTTGGGTTTCAATTATAGAAGGAAAAAAAGAATGATTCATGGTATCTGGATTGCATTCATATTTTTGATGTCGTTTCTTTTTGCACTGATACATTGTTTTGCATTCTGTTGTTCCTGTCGTTTGCTCGTAGTTAGTTCATGTTTGTTGTCAGTTGTGGTGTGTACATTTTGCTAATACAAGGGTAGTCTTGTATCCAGTTTTGTCCACCTCGGTTGAACACTGGTTATGGTTTTCCGCAGTTGACAAGAAGGTCCCGGGTTCGATCCCGTCCGCGGTGGTTGAATTATATTGGAGGCAAAATGCTGGAGGCCCTTGTGCTCTGCGTTGTCAGTGCACGTTAACTCACACCACGTGGTCTAAATTACCGAAGCCCAGGCCTACAGCGTCCCTCACTATACCTTGGTTTTGGGACGTCAAACCACGGATATTAGTATATGCTGCTTCGTATATAGTGTGTTCGTTCTGTACCTACTTCTAGTTTTCCTATAAAAAGTAGCTTGTGCTTCATTCACACTGGAGATTCCTTAAAGTGATGTTTGCTTTGCATTTAGGCCTCACTTTGCCGGTACTGGCTTCTGGCTCCTTGTTTCTTTGATAGCCTGTTTATACAACAATTTGGTCTACTGTACATACCCAACTAGAGTTATTCAAATCTTGGTGTAACTGTCAGTTCAAGCGCACGAATAATCAGAAAGAAAGAGAGGACAAGCGCTTTCTCGCAACTAAACGATTTACTAGAAAGGGAACAATGTTTGATTGCCTGTCTATACACTCTTCCCTGTCTAATAAATCGTTTAGTTGCGAGAAAGAGCTTGTCCTCTCTTCTTGTCTGTTTATTCGTGCGCTTGAACTGACAGTTATACCGTGCATGTCCAACCAGCCTAAATTTCGATTCCGTTGCGATTCAAACCCTGCTTGTTCGCGTAGAGTCCCACCTCGGTGTTGCGCAGGACCACGGAGCGACGGCGCGTACGTGTCGGGTGTGCAGGAGCTCAGGAGGCGTTTCTTGCAAGAAAGTGGATACGACCCGGCGTCGCGACCCACGAACGGCAGCGCCGAGCCGACAGGCGTGACCGTGGTCATCCCGCTGTCGGAAGTCACCCACTTCGTGAGTCTGTCAACCCGTATACTTCGGGGCTTTCGTGCTCGACTCAGCGCGCGATTTGAACAAAGGCGACACCATCAATGTGGAGCATTCTCTTATGTAAATGAGTGAAAAATGGCCCTACCGATTTGTCTATCTGTCTGTCCACACCTTATTTATTTATTTATTTATTTATTTATTTATTTATTTATTTATTTATTTATTTATTTATTTATTTATTTATTTTAATACGCCTTACAGGCCTCTAGAGGCATTGTGTAAGGGGGTAATACAACAATTTTAAAGCGTGTATGTTGTACAAAAAATTCAAAAGATATCAGAACAACATTAAAAATGTTAGGGTAACACAAGCGGGAATGCATTATGTGCTATACAACAAAAAGAGGCAAGGAAAAAATACAAGTTGAATCATGACAGCTCATTTGCACAATAAAATTTGGCAGATTAAAAAAAACGCCAGGCCTCCGTGGAAGGCGCAGAAAGCTAGAAGAGCGGCCTTTCAGAGCCTGTTCAAAACACTCATTGGGCAACTACGGAAAGCGCACTTGCTTGATACCCTCTAGGGCATTTATAATAAACTTTTAGGTCACGTAGGCCGGCATTTGCTATGCTATTTTTCGTCATTCTTCTGAGAAGAGTGGTATCCGCCATAGAGTTTCCCAAAATTGACTAGAGGGCACTGTGGCGCTGTGATCGTTCGGCGACCATGGTAATGATGGGTAGTACACACATTTGCCTAGTCTTCGTACTTGCGGGCGGCAAATCGTACTTGCGGCTTCGTTTATTGCTGGTTACGGTTTTGTTTTGAAAGAAAGAACGAACCCTTTTGAACTTATTGACTTGATTCAAAATGGTAAGCCTGAAAGAATAAGGTTGTGAAGCGCAAACGCTGAAAATGTGCTAATTTATTTTTTGTGAAAAAACAGCTCTAAGCCACACGAACACACACGAAGCCAGAAGAAATCCAGAAGTACGAAAATTAGACAAATGTGTGTACTACCCATCATTCCCATGCTCGCTGAAGCGCCGTGCGTTGCAGCTCCCATAGACACTAGTGCCAGAGTTCCCTCTAGTGTATAGTAGGAAACTCTATGGTATCCGCTAAACACTTGCAAGGAATTTCGTGCCAGTTGTTCATGCAGTGGCCGGCGAGGTTGGGGAATTATGTCTGAAGTGGTTATGCGCCAAAGTTAATAGGTGATCAAAAGCAAGCTTTTGTAATGGGTTGTAGCATTGGACGACCCACTCGTTAAGTTATTCACATTGTGCGACGCCTCGTTGTTCTTTTGGTGCTTTAAAACATTTCATTAGTCATATTAACGCGATTGCTTTACCGAAATCAAGCCTGCCTAAGGCAAGTTTATCAACAAGTCACAAGCACCGGTGTATCGCTAAGCGGTAGAATACTGCATTGAAACCCAGCAGACCCGGGTTTCAAGCCCCAATGTGTCTTAAGTGATAGTTTTTTTTTTTTTTATTTTCCACGATGTGGTTACGGACACCAGCAGGTGACCCGAGTTGTGTTCTCATAACAACTTTCGCTGTAGTATGAACAATGTATTTACAGAACGAATGCGACATAAGGCGACTATTACAAATAATATGTAACATGAAATTGGTTACCGCTTGGTTCTTCGTGCACTCGTCATGTGAATTTTCGACGTCGTTTCCTGGACGTAAATTCATCACCGACGTCTTGTTGTACCTCGGCATAAAACACTTTTATGTTAGAAATGGTCCTATAGTCTTTGATTTGCTTTTTTTTTTTTGTCACACAGACACTCGTGGGAGACTGGTTCGTCGTCGCTCTATACTTCTGCGAGGTAAGGATACTATCAGATACATTCAGATATTGCGCAGTTGCACTACTGGAGTTGTACTGCCCCAAGGTGCGTAAGTCACCCAGAGTAGAAATTTAATTTCAGAGTGTTTGTTGCTTTTGTATCGCAAATGGCGTCACTCAGATGCACTCAAACACATGACAACATGAGCGACAGCCCATACGATCTTGTAACTTTTTGGCAATATCGAGTGAACGTTAGCCCCATTACACGGTAGTGAAAAGGATCATTGATGACTAACGAGATCAATAATACGACGGTCAGCTTCACACCGGCTTTCTGAACACGTGATCGTGCAGATAACGCTGACAGGTTCTATGCATATTTTTATTATTATTTATTATTATTATTTACAGATACTGCTGTCTCGATACACGAGACATAGCAGGAGTGGGTACATTAGGAAAAGGAACGGACATACATTAAGCAATACCAAAGAATTATACAAAGCATTTAAAACATATTACAAAATATGGTTAGGCAGTTCTTTCAAAAACAGTTCAATTGGTTTTTCGCGTAGGGAACCATCTAGGTTGTTCCAAATCTCAACAACGGCTGGAAAAAAGGAATGCTTAAAGCAATTTACAAATGGTTGGAAGGGAACAATGTTGAGTGGGTGAGTTCGGCGCGTGGTTCGTCGCGCTGAATCACAAAAAAAAATCGGTGCTTCAATGCAACTGCGGCTGTGTACAATCTTATGTAGCAGAGTGATACGGTCAAGTGAAGTAAAACAGCGTAGTAGACGGCGAATGAACTTAAAAGCGCTGCGCGGAGTTCAGTATATCTTGTTCACAACGGCGGATATTAATAAGAGTTCATTTCTGTTATAGTTCTGGAAGGATCCTCGCTTCTCTTGGAACCCGAAGGATTACGGCGGAGTCCATCGTTTTTACGGAACCACGAAGCAGATATGGTGGCCGCGAATCGACGTCGTCAATGCGTAAAATATTCATGTTTCTTCTTCCTTTATAACTTTCATTTCCTGTGAACGCATGTCTTGCACATCTTGCAACACGTTTGTCTTTGTTTGTTACAGCAGTGAATAGCATATAGCCCGACTTCAGCGAACATGTAATTGCTCCTTGTAAACGGGTACATTTCGTGGGTTTTGTACACGAATGTAAATGGTCACGTTGTACTGACTCACTTTCACGTTGGCGTCACCGCCTTTTTCATTGTTTACTTTTTCTGTACCTCACGACGTTAATTAATTACAGTAAACGAGAGATTGATTGATCGCTCGTTCGGTCGGTCGGTTGGTCACGAAAGAGATTTCGTGTCAGCCTGCTTGCTCTGTTTGTTCCCGTTTTTCCTCGCCCTTACATTTTCTTTATTCCTGCTTTAAGTACGTGACTGTGTATTGTAAATTGCTGTTCCATACATTTTTTTTGCTGTCTTGCTGTACTTTAAATGCTAATTCGTTTGTCAGAGACCGGCTTTTTTTATCTAAATAACTATGCAGCAAGTATTAGGTCGGTCGGTCGGTCGGTCGGTCGGTCGGTCGGTCGGTCGGTCGGTCGGTCGGTCGGTCGGTCGGTCGGTCGGTCGGTCGGTCGGTCGGTCGGTCGGTCGGTCGGTCGGTCGGTCGGTCGGTCGGTCGGTCGGTCGGTCGGTCGGTCGGTCGGTCGGTCGGTCGGTCGGTCGGTCGGTCGGTCGGTCGGTCGGTCGGTCGGTCGGTCGGTCGGTCGGTCGGTCGGTCGGTCGCGAAAGAGGTTTCGTGTCAGCCTGCTTGCCCCTGTTTGCCCCTCCCCTTTACATTTTCTTTATAACTGCTTAAGTACGTGACTGTGTGTTGTAAAATGCTGCTCCATTCATTTTTGCTGCCCCACTATGCTTTAATTGTTAATTCGTCTGTCAAAGACCAGCTTTTTTATCTACATAACTACGCAGCAAGTATTAGATCTAATGATGTAAGACATTTTCTTTTTTCTGTTTAACTAATATATCATCATGTTTTAGGGCAGCCGGCTGCGCGTTCGTTGACAAAGTTTCCATTCTAGTGGTCAGTTGATGCATAGACAAATCAATCAGTCATGCTAGAAACCAACTAAACAGTGGGCATGGTATCATTTGCGTATATAGAAACAGACAAGATGTCGACTTGCTTCAGCAAAGGATCACCGTTTACAACGACAGCAGCGCGTGGTCCTGTGCTGCTCTGAAGGTGAAGACACCATGTAAGGTCGACCTCCGTGATTTCCCGAACGACAAACAGGTAAGCACCTACTTGATATCTGCCCACGTTTCAAGAGTATGATTGTAGGCGTACAGCAGTAGTATATAAGAGTGAACGTTGTAGGGGAACGACATAGTTATTGTGTTAGGTTTCTCATCACCTAGAAACTTGACCAACGCGTTCATCTTCGAAAGTTAACACTTTGAAATTGAAATATTTTTTTTTTAGTAGAAGAGCGCTTTCTGTTCCCCCTTCTGCACAAAATGAGTTCAGTTAAAAGCAGGTACACGAAACCAGATCAGGAAGTGTGCTGTGACCTTTTGTGACCCATCGTTGTGCGTGCAAGACATTTGAACTGTACACCTAGAAGCTCTAGGCATTGATACTGTGTCGACTGGTCTAGAAGGAAAACTTTCAACAGTCTTGCACGTTGATAGAATGAGCTACTCTGCGATGGAAAGATCAGAGGCAAAAGAGCACAAATACTGTTTCAAAGAATGAAAAAGAAAATAACTTAGTGGAAATGGTACTTTGACATAGGCAGTTTGTTCTTCTATTGTATGTATATGTCTTTTTGTTAAGCTATACTCGCCGTGGTAGCTTGGCAGTTAGTGTGTCGCGCGGTCAATCTCGATGTCGTGGGTACAATTCTGTGCCTTGGACGCCGTATTCCAATGGGGTCTAAATGCAAGAATGCCCACGCGATTTAGATTCAGTGTCATGTTAAAGGGGCCATGACACCCAACTTTCGATCACAATCCGTGTTATCTAGGATGGTCCTGGAATATTCAGAAACAAGCTGCAGAAGCTACAGTTGAATTGGTCGAACACTTAATTCATAACGAATCTTTTTACAAACACTTGAGCGGCTCGATAGTCTGGCAACACTGGCGCACTTGCGGACCGTGACGTAAGAGGCTGCTTACTCTACGAGCAGACGTATTTCGGCCAACGATTTTGTGTCGTGGTCGGCTGCGCGTACAATGGGGATATTCCAGCTTTCTTCAGTTTGGTTTTGAAGATGGAACTACTGAAAGCGGCTGAAACTTACGTTGAAAACGACGGCTTAACTTCATCGAGCAAATGACGACACACGTACACGCCATGACAAGATGGTGACCACCGGCTGTGGGCGGAGTTTGTGGCCGGTGACGCCCAGGGCTTATTTTGCACAAAAATATTAATTTACAGTATTTTTCATACATGTAGAGGTGCAATAGACCCTCTGTTTGGTCACCCACCAATTTGGTGGGTGACCGTTTCATTGCGTTTTAAAGAAACCTAAGTTATAAAAAAATATTCGTAGTCCTCTTACTGTGACCTTCCTCAAAAGCATTGGTTGGTTGGTAACATCTTTATTGGTAGTCCAGCAGCGCTTTCACCGACCGGGTCTTAGGTCTCCCGCGTGGGGACGTCAGGACCTTGCCCAACCGCCACCTCGCGGGCGTGCTGGACGGCACAGAGTTGGTCGCCGAGGCTGGGACTGATCATGGCATTCCATCATAAGAATCATTTGGCGCCTCTCACAATCCACCCGTTCATTACGCAGACATGCAGCCTCCGCGCTGGCGCGAGTGCCTACAGTGACAGGGAAGTCAAAATGGCCGGCTACGTCACATGGGGTGATCCCCACGTGAACGCCAGCACGGAGTGGGTCCTGTAACACCTGTCCTTCAGCAGCCACACGGAAACTAACAGGTGATCCATCGTGCTGCCGTAACTTGGTGTTATGATAAAGAAAAAAAAGCTTGACACTTTGCTTCTCAGTGACACAATACAGTTTTAGTCTGTATGCAAACTTCTTTGCGTTAGAGTTATATGACTTACCGTGGCCGAATAGGTGGTGCCATCTGGGGGTGCCAAGATGAAACAGGCATGCATAGAACTGTTATGGCAGAAACCTAGTCATTCTACTTCCTTGGCGATTCCAATTCGCGGCAGTGGCTTAATATTAACTGAATTCACCTCTTAAAATTCTCTCTCTCAAGAAACACTCTGTGAAAACCAACAAACGTGCCTTTAATTGTGGTGGAACGAAGCGGTGTCAGTATTGACCGGTAGCTTGGTTTGTGTTAACCATTTCGAGTATACTAATTATACCAAGAAATGGGACAAGCAAGAACATCTATTCTCTCTCTCTTTCCGTTATACTCTCATATCAAAGGCTTTGGGTGCACGTTAAAGAACCCCAGGTGGTCTAAATTTCCGGAGCCCTCCACTACGGCGTCTCTCATAATCATAAATTGGTTTTGGGACGTTAAACCCCACAAATCAATCAATCAATCAATCATATCAAAGGCTGTATTTGTAGCGTGCTCTCGTTCTACTGTAAAACTCGGAAGCAGACGTATTTCCCGAGTTAGGAGTTTGGTAGCGGCACACGCACGTCGGCGTTCGTGTACCCTACAGTATTCTTTCTGTTCCGTTCCACTGACGAAATGAATTTCAGAGGCCATGTAGGAAAAAACGAGTGGTTGATATCTGCTCCACCAGATGACGCCACGATCGTAGCTGCGCAAAAGAATACCATTTGTTTATTCAATGGACTCAGTCTGTTGATAGTCAATGATCGTCTGTAGTAAAAATACGTGATTCAATTCTTTTCACTCATACTCTTGGGAACATCATCTAAAATTGTAAAATTCTGCCATCTGTTCTCTCTTTTTTTTCGTTTGTTTGGTGTTTGAAGCTCTTGCCCTTGTACTTTTTGTCATTATTATATTCATATCTAAATTACTCTATCGAGTGGTACATTTTGTATAACCAGTGTTTAAATCGGCCTTATCCTTTACATTTTGTCGTTATTATACATGTTGCTGTACTCAACTAATTTGTTTGTTCATGCATCTCTTTCATTTTTTTATTTATTTTTCACCTCTCCATATTTGTTCCTTTCCTCTATAATGCACTGTATGCACAACTAGGGTATTTGAAACAAATAAATAAATAAATAAAATAAATTACCGCGACTGTTATTTGGCCCTTCTCTGAGGTAAACTTAGACTCCTACATACTGTGTATCCTATTTACTCTCAAGTTTAACCAGTACCACGAACTTCATGAAAGTTTCAATTTTGATGACTTTTCTAGATATTCGGAAAACCCAAATCTCGACCGGATTTTTTTTAGAAATCCTGCGTTGGTAGGTTTTTGTTTCGGGGGTTCAAACCCATCTTTGTTCGTGGTGGAGGATGGGGCGAGCGCTGGTAAAGTAGGCGGGGGGCAAGTGATTCTTTTGATTTGGTCCTCTCTACCAATGACCATGCAAGTGTCACTCGAGGCTCATGCCCCTAATTGTTAGCATACGGTGCACCTTTGCGTCTAACACCATTTAAAACGTGGGGAAAGGTCCTTTATAGATGTCGTCTTCCACCTGCGGAGAACGGCCCGTCGTCACCGTTACACATTCACCATACCCGGGATCTCATCGGCACTTGCCATTCTGGTCGGCTTCTGGATGCCTCCGGACTCAGAGCGGAGGCTGACGCTCGCCTGCCTCAACGTCTTCGTCCTGGCTGTCGTCCTCAACAGGGTGACAACACTGATCACGGCGTCCGTAACAGTTCCCAAAATGAGTACGCCACTTCGCCTGTTGTCCTTCCTATTCGATTTATACCGTGCAATCTATGGGTATTGCGTTGTTTTTCCTGCAGATGGTCTTATGCGTACAGTTTACATGATGCGGTAGAATGATGACTTCCGTTGCTTCTTAGACTTTCTTGTTAATAAGGCCAGAGCCTTAAATATCTCATGGAAGGCGGTAAAAAATGTCGGCGCTTGCGGTGCGTTAACAGGAATGATGTAAAAATCATCATCATGTGGTGAGGACTCCCATGTTACGTCATAATGACGTCACATATTTACAAAATTTATTGTGAAGCAAAATGACGGTGCAGTGATGTGATATTGCCCCTCGGACAAAGGTTGGTCAATCTCAAAAGCAATGCCCAACCGGGCGAGATGCAGGAAGCATGCAATGCCTGCGATCTTGAAGGCTGTGGAGAACTACGTTAGGTGCAGGAAGCTTTCTGGGAAAGATCCGAATTAGCACGTCAGCCGAGAAGAAAAAGAAGATGGCTTTTGGCTTTGAGTCGTTTTCGTCGAATTTATAAGAGACCCGGTAACATTTTGCGAAACAATGTGTCAAATTCAATTACTGGTATAACGTACCCGCATGAATTTACGCACCGTTGAATAAGAAGTTGGTGCTTGAATTTAGTTGCATTTCTTTGTTTTCTTTCAGTTTTGTTTCTCGGACTTGGCACTCTCGCGGTGTTATTCACAGCGGCTACAAGTATACTGGTCACCAGAGCGTCACGCTCCGATTCCAGAACCCAGGTGCCTGATAGCTTCCACCACTTCCTCAGTGGCTTCATCGCGACGCTTTTGTGTATAAGTTTCGACGAGCCTACCTCAGCCCTCCGATCTCACGAGCACCGAGAAGTCGCGTCGTTCAACGCCTCACACGAGAGAAGAAGGCGGTGGCTCATCTTGGCGAAAGCTGTGGACCGCGTCTTTTTGGTCGTGTTTGGAGTCGCGACGCTTGTCTTCTTTATATGAACCTTTACAGCGTTAATAAAATGTCAATAATGAGACATGGTCAAACTGAACGCTGCAAGAAAGAGTTAATCCCACCCTGTGAAGTACTTGTGCATGATGTGGTCAAAGACGTGGCAAGGCAAATCAATTTCGCGGGTAACAAGAGGGAAAAGCATGATAAATCATATGAACCTTGGTTACAAAAAGCTTTGGTACAAAAGCTTTTAATGAGTTTCCTGCAATTTGATGACCCGGCCTCAGGTCTTTCACGTCGGAAAGTCCAGGCCTTCCCTAATCGCCACATTGAGGGCCTGCGGGACGGTCCTAATCCGGTTGGCGGCGAGCTCTGCTGCTCATGGCATCGATCCACGTCACCGAGAGAACATCGGCATGGATGTCTTGGTTGTTTGCTTCTTTTCTTCTAGCGCGTGGCTTTCTGTGTAGCAGGTTCTATACCGCAGATCTTGCAGGGGCCGTCGTTATAGATCTGGGGATACAATCTGTAATGCGCAAGCGTAGGAGGGTGATTACTTGGGCTGGCTGTGTTTTATTAATTGATGCGTTATGTGCACCGCTTAGGACACGAGAGCAGAACTGTGTGCTGTTTTGTCCCAGTCTTTTAAACGGTGCTCAATAACTTAGCTACACTAGTAAACTTGGATAAGTGGCAGCTAGTAGCGGCCACCGGGCTTTGAATAACTTGGGCTTGGGCTTAGAATAACTTTTGCTTTGGAGGAGTGGAACTCGATCGGAACAGGTAGACAAGTTTCAAAGTAGCTTTTTAGCTTGTCCTTGTTTGCATCAAATGGGACGGCTGTTCTGTAGCGGTCGTCATAGGCGTGTGCAGGGTCCCCCTTCAATAGTGAGGAAGGGGGGATTCAATGAATTTTCGCCTCTCCCCATCCTTTGAAGGGAAGCTGTGCGCATGCCTATGGCCTTCTGTATGACCTGTGGCTGAACTTCCAGCATGATGGAGGCCAGAACTTCGTTACCCCCGCCCCCCTCAGGTGAGGCTATAACAAAGATGTCTTGACGCCATACCGTGACCCTGCGCAGCTTCACTGCCTGTCGAGGCAGTTAACACCACCCCCGCACCCCACAATGAACTAGCGGAAGTAAATTGTCTGGCGCCGACTACGAACACTAATTTTACATTCATTCTTTCATGCAAGTAATACCCTTGACACGATTGGCCCGCATTCTGGGTCGACGTCACCCTGATAAAACATTCTGAGGAAACTTGTTAGTGGCCAAGTGTGTTCGAAGTACTTCAAATTAAATAGTTGCACAAAAAAGAGACCCGTTGAGAATCGAGGTTACAGGAACAAGCGTAAACACACTGTTTTATTCATGGATGAAACCGCTCTTGAAATAGAAAATAGAAACATGATGATCACGTGTGCATACGCCAACTAAGGTATGAGCGTTATCCACGCGCTGCCATAAATCCCCTCTCTCCACTGTACAGGACGGTAGAAGGGTCAATAACAAACGCCTATGCCTACTGCGATTTTGCAGAAGTTTGGAAGACCAACCATGCATTCATATTTCCACTTCTACCGGTGATTTTATTCTCACTCAGTGGAGGATCGCACGTTTACGTATTGAAGCAATATTTTTTTGCAGACTATAGTTGGTTCATACTTGAGGCGTCCCCTTGTTGCGCAATCTGGAGGAAAGCGAGAAGGCAGGAAGGAAGATCTGCGCTCTTTCCTGTCTCTCTCCTCGTTTTCCTTCAGCTTGTGCTACAAGTGGAGGTCTCAAGTGTCCGTAATGCAAGGCTCAGTTAAATTCATCTGTTTTTTTTCTTTTCTTTACATTTTTAGATGCTTCCTTGCTCTGCCATTTATCCAGCATTTCGTTCGACCTTAGTAGACTTTTCTGCAGAGACGTGGAATTTGGTATACCACTCCGACTGCGCATTCGGCTCTGCCTGAATTCATCTTCATGGTGTCACAGTGGCATTACGCAAACCGCGGCAACAAGAAATACGACGACAAAGAGTCGATCAAGCGCGTGGGCTACCAGGAGCCACTCCCTGGCCCGCTCTTCGGACAGTCTCGTGACCGGCTTCTGCAGCGAGGGTTCGTCCGTTCCTGCAGTCGGAGCCGCGTGCGCCGCTCCATGTCGCGTCAAGTCGTGGTGGCGGAGGCAGAGTCCTGCGCCTGCTGATCCTGTAAGGAAGTGGATCACGGGAGCTGGCACGGCCACCGGAAACAGCACGTGCGCTGACGTCACGTTGAGGAAGGCCACGGCGATTGCGGTGACCAGCGCTTGCAGCAACATGGCGCCTTCCAGGAAGAAGACTGCGATAGATGAATGTCAGTGCTTCAGCATCAGCAACCTTGCGATATGCCGCTCACGAGAGAGAGAGAGAAGTATAATCTTCAATGAAATGCTGAAGATGTCAGCCTTGCTATACTCCCCTGACCAGCGACAACATGTGCTGGATGATGTTTATGATACATGCACTGAAAAACACGTATGAACACATACAGTCACTGAGACGTGTCGATTAAACTATTTACATAGTTTCGTTTTAACTCGTGACTTTCAAGAACGTCAGCTGTTCATCCTTGGCGCCTAATGTGAAGACGGTGCTTTGTCATGTGCAGAGAATATGGTGTAATTCCAAGCTCTAGTCCCGTTGAAGGTGAAATGAATCTTCCAGGTGTGATCCATCCGTCCGAGGAAGACCACCCCTGTAGCTCAGTTGGTATAGAGCATCGAAGGTCACAGGTGTAGTCCCTTCCAGTGGAAAGTTATCTCTTCGTTCACTTTTCTTTATTCACACATACACTATACTTACTACAAATAACATCCGCTATACTTTCCTTGACATCATTGTCTTGTCTCAATAATATTCTTTCTAACAATAAAAACCAAACCTTAAATTTCCACTGTTCTCAGGGGTGCAAAACAGCGAATCAAATCTCATCGTACATTGTCATGCCCATCATTATGCTGTTTCTTAATTCCTTACTTATTTTGGGTGGTCTGTAGGAGTCGCCAAGGAGCGGCACCATTCTTCGCAGCATTAGGGCAAGCAGCAGCATGTTGATGCAGCACAGGGTCAGGCGACGGCTTGAATTGGCGGGCAGCCAGAATACTAGCAGTATAAGCACGACGGACGATACCCACGGCAGAGTCACGCTGTACAGGTACTCCGAGGAACGCCTCCGGAGCCGAAATGTCAATTCCAGGTACGTCCTGTGATTCGGCAGGCAGACAACATTGTTACGAATTCTGTGCTCCTTGAGATTCAGATAGTTCTTTATCTCGTCATCTTTTAATTCACAAATAGACATATATGGTAAGAATAACAGTTTAAACAACTTTTGTAGGCTTTGATTGATTGATTGATTGATTGATTGATTGATTGATTGATTGATTGATTGATTGATTGACTGATTTTTGTGTTTTAATGTCCTAAAGCCACCATATGATTATGGAAGACGCCGTAATAAAGGGGTCCGAAATTTCGACCACCTGGTCTTCTTTAACGTGCACCCAAATCTGAGCACACGGGCCTACAACATTTCCGCCTCCATCGGAAATGCGGCCGCCCCAGCCGGGATTCCATCCCGCGACTTGCGGGTCAGCAGCCGGGTACCTTAGCCACTAGACCACCGTGGCGGGGTGGCTTTGACGTCCCAAAACCGTGATATGATTATGAGGGATGCCATAGTGGAAGTCTCCGCAAATTTACACCACCTGGTGTTCCTTAACATGCACTTCAAATCTAAATACACAGGCCTGTTGCATTTTGGCCCCACCAAAAATGTGGCCGCCAAGCCGGGATTCGAACCCGTAGTCTCGGACTGCATTCGAGCATCATAGCCACTAAACCACCATGGTGGGTTTAGATGGCAAAAATACAGATAGCAATGATGGACAAAAGACAGATAGCCAGTGATAAAGCCCGGTGAAACTAAATTGCAGCGGTAACGGCATCTACACGTGAGAGATGGCAAAAAAAATTTTTCAGAATATTCAAAATACAATACTAATAATCTCTTTATGAAACATTTATAATATAAATAAGTTTCATACTAGAAACAGCCAGCGAATACTAATGACATTCTAATAACATTACTTTTTAAAAGTTATAAAATTAAAAGATCCGCATCTATGTATTATGTACGCTTCTTATTCGGAATATAAATTGAAATCTCTGAGATCGTTGTTCAACATTCGAAGCTTCAGGTTTGGCACTCATAGTAACTTTATGCATTGTTCTTTTTTTTTCGTTTTTCAATTCACGTTTTAATTCATAAGAAAAACCTGCTACCTATATTTTATTTAAACATAATTATAAAGTAACGACTGATATTGTGGAAATCGCTCTCTTGTAGTAGTTCAGTGATTTCGAAATTACCAGCCAACAAGAGTAGCTCATTACATTACTTCTTACGGGAAAATGTAATTAAGTTAATGTAACTACATTTTACTGTAACTCAACTGCTGTCAAGTCCCCTACGTGTCTGGTTACCTGATTATTATGTTTTATACAATCATTTGTGACAATCTCCATTTGATATGTGAATGAATGGTTTATACGATGGTCTTATATCGTTCTGTATATGATTACACTGACACACTTCATATGTTTATACTGACGATGTAGCAACATGCCGGTGTTAATATGCGATCCCCAAATGTTGGTTCATTGCTAATGAATATGTCTCGTCCACTTCTTTTTTGGCAGATAAGTGGAGGCTTGAGTGAGATGCGGCTGCAGAAACGGAAGTAACCAAGTGAATAAACTGTGAACTGCGACATTGGGGCTTTATACGCATAAGTGAACGTGATTTAGTTACAATGCGCGTGCAAGTTAAGTCAACATGCATCATAATTAGCCATGCGGCTTGAAAGATGACGGCTCTTCGTAATTTCACTAGTAATTCTTACCTGTTCAGTAGTTCACCGCTTCCCCACATCGGCAGCACCGTCACCTCCCACTGGTGGTCCTGCCAAGGCTTCAAGGCACAAGAAATAATGAATTATTCAACCTCCGATTTAGACCGTCGGAATTAACAAGCTACAATTTGAAGATTGGTAATTCAATTAAAAGTTTAAGAACTAAGGTACAAAATAACATTGCACTTACTGCATTGCAATGACATTTGACGGATTATGACTACTTCTCTAGCGCCTCACTTTACGGTCCCCCTCGTTGGGCTGTATTGTAATGCGGTCAAACGTGTCATGTTAGATGGTGCCCTATACCTGGCCACGTCGTAAATTTTCCATTAAACGCCTTGTTGCTTATGTTCACGTTCTAATCATTAGCAATAACACTTAATTATCGCTCTGAAACATCAGTCTCCCGTGAGCTAGGAACGCAGATGTCAATGCACTATAACACACTAAAAAGTATGATAATTTTAGATTCCATTTTGTTTAAATTGATGATCACGTTTCGTAAACCGCAAACTGAGTGCTCAGAATTAAATCTTTTAGTTCAGTTTCACAATTTGTTGCATGCTCCATAATTGCTACAGGGCGCCAATATATTAGGAACAAAAAGTAGGTTTTATAGTTAAATGGCCCTAGATGAAGTTTCACTCTTTCACTCCTTCTGTACAAGTTGAAAGCTGTTAGAAAATTAAAAACTAACACAGGGTTATTATAAACTGAAAGCATTTATGTGTACATGTATAAAGCATACGCACGCCGTTAGAAGTCAGAGCATTCTCTGCCAGATCGGCCACAGTGTCGTACTGCTGCATGTCGTTGCTGTAGGCCAGGGAGGAGAAGCGTACTTTGCACGTGTGCTCGTCCATAGGGAAATCGGTGAGATCCATGGGACACGGTACCCGGATTCGCGTGTACGGTGACTGCAGAGTAAGATACGACAAAAGTTACTTCGCAACACGCTCTCGCAGCTTGGTTTATTCATTAAAATGGATTTATTTAGTTGGAGACAAAAAGTTACGGACCATATCCGCGAAGGGAACACTGGTGGGATGCGAAGCAGCGGCAATGCGCACGGCGTTGACGCGGGTGCTGGAAGAACGGTTTGAAGCGAAACTCGGTGTAGCGTTTACTCGAGTAAACGTTCGTTTGAAACATAAAGACACGAAAGACGGGTTGGGTTTCGTGTAAGTTTCATCGCATATAAATGAGCCGAATGTTTGCACTCTACGGGCGGTCGAGCGTTGCTGGTGATGGAGAGCGTGAAGCGAGAGAGGTGTGTTGCGAGCGGGCGCCGGAGCCGGCAGCTGCCTCGGGTGAGAGAAAGAGAGAGAGAATAAGCATCTTTATTTAATTATTTTTATGCGTCGTGTTCAGGGTGGTTTCCCCCTTCCAGCAAGTCATAGGCTTTCGCCGCGTCGACAGCCCTCTCCACCAGCTGACGCTGATCTTTGAGGGCGGGCTGGCTAAGGCTCCAGAGTGACGCCAACGCACAGCTGCGACCTGACCTACTTGGCACCGCTCCAACGACTGCGGCGAAGGGTTATGTGGGCTCACGGAACACCGTTACGCAGGCTAGTCAAAGAGCTGCTTCGCATCTAATAAACGCTGTGATAGATGTATGTCAATCGAAGTAACCGGCACGTAAGTGGTTGCGGGCGCGTTACAGTGAATTTGTTTTGCAACACTCAAGGTGTTTTCCAAGCATCTTAGAGGGTACATCTGAAATCATGCATATGGCCAGGTTGGTGAGAATCCATTACTTTCAATGGGCTTGACGTAGTAACCCGTGCACATGAAATGAAAACCGATCAAACGGCACCGACTAAGGGCTGAAAATTATTCAAATGAGAAAGGCATTCATATATCCATAAGCACTTACTCAAAAATAAATAAATAGCCATTCAATTGCGTCATTCACTTTTTATGCAGCGCGAAAAAAAACTGATACACAATAAGTCAGTCATTTATTGTGTATCATTCATAGCTCGCAAATCACCTGGGTTGCCTGGCAATGATGTCCGGCGGCAGTACCATCTTGACCAGAATTAGGTGCTCATGCGTGATCCTCGAACGCAGCGTAATGTGGCACGTGATTTACCATTGCTGCGCGTGGATGGCTAATTCTCCATTTTTTTTATTATGTTCACGTGCTTTGCATTCTGGCCTATATGCTATATTCAGAGGCGGCATCCCAAAGAAATAACTCCAATATCTGTGCAGTGGCGTGCAAGCACTTCAAAATATCTCGATATCTCACTAGCTAAACTTCTTCAGTCTCGTCACTGCATCTAAGCCTATAGCGTACTGTATTTTTTCTGATCTATTCCACGTGTGTTCTAATTTCGCCTTAAACTCGCAATGCCTGGTCATTTTTTCTTTTGTAATGCACGGCACATGATTGATTGATTGATATGTGGGGTTTAACGTCCCAAAACCACTTCATGATTATGAGAGACGCCGTAGTGGAGGGCTCCGGAAATTTCGACCACCTGGGGTTCTTTAACGTGCACCCAAATCTGAGCACACGGGCCTACATTTCCGCCTCCATAAGAAATGCAGCCGCCGCAGCCGGGATTCGAACCCGCGCGTAATGCACGGCACAGTTAATTGTGAATGCTACAAAGTTGTCAGATGCTATCGAGCTCGCAAGTAAATAATAATTTCAAAATAACCAAAAAAGAAGCGCAATAAAAGTAACACATTTTAGTAAATTGTCGCTTTTCTTGGAAATATTTTTATTATAGTGAAAAATAACTCTTAAGTACAAAGGGGAGATGAAAAAAAAAAAACACTTCGATCATTTGTGAAGCGAAAATATGCGCAACTACGAACGAAAGCGCGCATTGACTTTTGTAACACAGGCTCCATTCGGTTGAATGCACATACATTTGGCCGTGCATGATTGACGTTACATATTAAGTCTTTCGCGTTTGTTTGAATTTAACACTCAACTACTCAAAGTGATCGACAAACGCACCACCAGTGAACGTGATGAGAACTAAGATAATTTTACTTGATGGGAAAATGCAAACAAGCCCAAAAAGCGCGATAATAAACTGGAAAAAAAATGGACAAGCGACTCAGCAAAAAAAAAAAAAGACCAAAATATAGGCGGAACAGGCAATGATGGCCTGTGTACAAAGAAAGGGCGAACTTAAAGTATTCTATTATAACATGAGCGTGTGTCGCCACCTTTCAGCAGTGGCAAAAAGCAACTTTTCAAGTAACGCTGCAGTGCAGAAAAGGCGGTTCATTTGAAGCTGACATGGCGCCTGTTAACGGTGAAAGTTTTACATGTCAGAGTCGTTTCGTTTTGTTCGTCACAAATTCTCTGACGTTATCTCGATGTTATCCAAAAATTAGCGAAAATGACGTCTTCAGATCAACCACTTTGTTCACGTTCGACCATGCGTTGCAACCGTTCATTAGGGTTGTTGTTCACGCTATTGTGTACTATAGCCTGCGCACGTTCGACCATGCGTTGCAACCGTTCATTAGGGTTGTTGCTTTACGCAGTTGCCGGCAGGTGGCGACACAAAACCATGCCACGTAGGAAGGTATTCAGCTACTTGTACATGAAGAATGTCGGCACAAAATGGAGGAAGCGAACCAGAAAATTCACTAGTAAATACTTAAAAAACAGCAGGGGGCCAAACCAAAAAGAATTGTCGGTTAAGAAGAAGTTGAAGGAAGCTGAGACCGATATGTGGAGAATCGGCATGATTAAAAAGTCCGCACGAGAGATCTATCAAACTTTTAAGCAGGAAATCGCCAAGGAAAGGATCTATGATAATACTCGGGGTAGTTCTCTACTGTTTGAGGCCAGGACGTGAGTATTGCGAACCAAGACATATCGGGCCAAAGACGAACGAGTCGACACGATATGCAGTGCGTGTGGAGAGAAAGAAGAAACTGCCGAACACTTGATAATGTTCTGTAAAGGGCTTCACCCTATAGTTCAGGATGATTGTGCAGTTTTTTTTTTTTTTTTTCAAAGCTCTGGGGTTCAGGTACAGGGAGGGCAAAATAGACTTTAAGCGGATAGAATTAACTAGAAGGAGGTTATCTGATTGGTGGATAAAGTCAAGGCACGAGTGAAAATTAAACCCTTCACTGCAAAGTACGAATACTCAACCTCACTATTTAAAAAAAAATAAATCTAGTTTTTGGTTCATTAGGTATTACGGCTTTGTGGCGCTAGCCACCACCGGATCTAAAGCGTACAGCCATATCCATCCATCCACGTAATGTCATGATGGAAATTGGTAAACATGTCCGCAATAGAAATATGTAAAACACGGTTTGCGTATCTGTAGCAGAAAAGAAGGAATGAAGGACGAAAAATGGGATCAATAAGGTACGCCTATCATAAGAAGCAATGTGGGGTGGTATTTTATATTACTTTTTATAGCAAGATCATTTTAGCAGAATGCAGAAGGCGTTAGGCCAACTTAACTAAAAAACGAGGGGGGGGGGGACACACAGGTCCCATTCTTTTATATAGGGACGTACGTCCATTCGTACAGGACTGTGCTTGTTCGTTGTCTAAATCAAGTAATCTTTTTTTTTTTCTTTTTGAAAACGGGCAAGCATCTGTGCTCACTGATGTACGAGCAACAGTGAAAGATAGCACAAAAAAAAGGGGGATGGGGGGGGGGGGGGCTAGCTTTTTCGAATAATATGCAAAGGCAGATCAGTGTTTAAAGCAAAACAAAAGCTATATTTTCGAAGATATTAGGTAGGTTTTCAAAGCTTTGTACGCTACGCCCAAGTTTCTGTTGTAACGGCAGCTATGGTGAACGTGAAGTTCACTGTGCCGATAACGCTGACACGCGTTGCTGCCTTTGCCATTGGCATAAAAAGCCTTTGTTCAGCCGAAGTTGCTATTACGTCTTGGGATTTAATGCAATTACGGTTTTGCGAAGCCGGTTCCTTGGCATGCAGGATATGGGCGTAAACGGATGAAACGCTCCACCCGGATATTTATAAACCAACCTCCGATGGCATCGCAAGTCCTGACGATGAGTCGCGCCATTGCGAAATAGAATCAGAAGTGCGAATATTAGCGTACAGGTGCTCCAAAACTCAAACGGAGCACGCGAGTTGTGGGCGAACAGGGCGAAACTGAATGCCAGCGCGCTATGTCAGTGAATGCGCTGTCGGTAGCGAGAGTGCGTTGGCATATCCGGCTGACCCATCCCGATATTGTGTTGCTCGCTTTATCTGCGGCTTAAGCGAAGTTGTGCTACTGCCATCACTGCTCGTCAGAGGACGCTTTCAACGTTCAATTCATTTCTTTGCTTGCGTCGTGACTAAGTTTTCAAGTGCATGCGCTTTCTGCGTAGCCAAGCACGTTAAAGAACCCCAGGTGGTCGACTTTCCCGGGTCCTCCACTACGGCGTCTCTTATAATCATCACAATCGGGAGAGTGTAAACTGCAAGCAGTTTACACTCTCCCGATCTTATTTACGCTGAAATTTGAAGTTGTTTTTCTAACTATTCCAACTATTTCCTCTTTTCCCTCCCCACTCTTTCCTTTTGTTGCTTTTGTATAAATATATCACGCTTTCCACTTTTTACTCTCTTTATTGTTGATGTTGTTTTGAAGTGTGTATGACAACAGTATTATCTTGCCCTTCCTGCTTTGGCCTCTGGCCAGCATTATTTGTAAATAAATAAAATAAAATCATATAGTGGTTTTGGGACGGCAAACCCCACATATCAATCAATCAATCAATCAATCAATTCTGTGTAGCCAAGAATGCCAGCCCCAACCCAACCCTTTATGACTAGCGGTGATATATAAGCCGAGCGGCTTCCCTCGAGCCGGCGATAAGGCGAGTATTATAATATCGGGATGGCTCAGCCGGATATGCCAATGCACTCTCGTTCTGTGCAGCGCATCTTGTGAAACATTACACCAGCATGCAGTTTCGCCCCGTTTGGCCACAGCTCGTATGCTCCGTTTTACTTTTGGAGCATCCGTACCACGTGACCTGTACCAACTCAGCAACGCCAAGATACCGTTATAGGAAGGGCCAACGTGGGGGCTAGTTGCTTGTACATTCATTCAGCAGAGTGCAATGTTGGGTGAGTTGTGGCATAGCATAATATAATATTTGTGGCGCAACTAAGATTAGCAAAAAAATTTGAAAAGACATGATAGGGTGCCACGATAGGACGACGTGATAAGATACAGGATAGGGATCCTAGCTGTCATTTTATGTTGGTGCTTCATCCTGGCGCCCTATTCGTAATTTTGTCTCGTTGTTTTATTGCCTTTTCTTTCCTTGTCCCAGTTTCGCCACAAATATTTTCTTATCCTATCACTTATTCCTGAAATACCAGAACAGTTTTGTGTTGTCAAACACCTGCGGCTCCCGCACGATAGGGATATCCTTTACTACTACCTGAAATATCATCCCGGTATTTTCCAGATAGACGTCGTTGTAATCAATCTGCAAATCTTCGGGATTGCTGGAAATATAATAAAAGGAGGGGGTTTTGTAAAAAGACAAAGAAGAGCTTGAATCAGTACTCATTAATACGCACTTAATTTTCTCAATTGAAACACACAGAATGAACCAACAACTGTAACTTGCATTCATGTAACAGCTATATATGCCTGCATAAAAAAAAACAACACAACCCTTCAATGGCGGTCACAGTTCTTCAATTTACTCGTAAAACGGGGGAAAGCACAAAAAAAAAATATGACAATGCTCACTGCAAACAGATATTGTAACGGTGCAAAAACTGCACCAGTCAACATTCAAGTTTACCATAATTTAATATTTTTTTACGCTGTTGCTTGAACACTTATTATGTGATTCAACTCCAGCCTTGCTTGTGGATTGATTTTTGGTGCCACAAAAGTTTTCGCGAACATTAAACATGCAGCACACATGATCTGTCAGGTATTTTTTTTTTTATGTCTGCTTCAGAACAGTCAGAGCCGTGGTCTTTTTTTGCATGAGTTTGTCTCGTGTTTAGGGTCCACGCTATTTGATATACCCGCTATCGCGAATGACGCAATTTTCCCAACTTATTACTTTATTGTCTTCCGCACACCTCGATTGAATCGCAAGTTATGACTGGCTAACTTCCCAGATTCTTTGCTATTTTTAGTCATTATTGTGACCATAAGGGCTTCGAGGGAGGCGTTAGCGCTAGAACAGCGAGTTTGACAGCGACGGGTATGAAACGGCAATGTTACTACAGGCTCCACAACACACACGCTAGCTTTAAACAGTACGCTAGGTTATCATGACAATATTATCACGTGGCAGGAGCGTTGCTGAAATAAGTTTCGGGGGGGGGGGGGGGGTCAATACTTTGTGTATACTCTCGGGTGCATTTCTTTGTGTTTGTACATATATACGCAAGCAAAACTGAAAATTTTCAGAGGGTTGAACTACGACCCTGCCACGTGTTGTAACGTTGATGAAGGCAGTGGTTGGTTTGTTTAAGGTGAAACTCTTTATTTGGGCTAAGCCATGGGCCTGCGCAGGGTTCCTCTTCATGGGGTCGTAGATTCATTGCAGCGCCCCTCCCCTTATTAAATAAAATAAGGAAGCAATCCACCTCTAGAGCCCCCCCCCCCCCCCCCCCCACATCGCGTGCATAGCTATGGGCGAATTTGGGCCTGGAAAAGGAAAGCTCCAACTACACTGATGCACACTACGCTGGTAGCCGTGAACGGAGCGTCGACCGTCGAAAAAAATTATTACCGTGACAGCACGTCGTCTTTTATACAGTTGCCAGCGAACCTTCCAGCGTTGTCGCTGGCGTCCACGTAAGTTCTCGAATGAACTTGATTATTTGCGTCCGGCGCGAGAACCCCGTTTCTTGAAACAGTCTTCACTAAATGATGCACTACAATCGCGAAGCTTCTTGAAAATAGCATTTGCGCCGAGCGTTAATAACGGCCTTTCCGGGTGAAACACAAATACATCCCAATCAACGCACGCGGCAATATGGGCATATGGACATTGTTGCGTATGAAGAACAACCCTTTGAGTGCCCAATTTAACACTGATTGATATGTGGGGTTGAACGTTCCAAAACCACCATATGATTATGAGAGATGCCGTAGTGGAGGGCTCCGGAAATTTCGACCCCCTGGGGTTCTTTAACGTGCACCCAAATCTGAGCACACGGGCCTACAACATTTGCGCCTCCATCGGAAATGCAGCCGCCGCAGCCGGGATTCGATCCCGCGACCTGCGGGTCAGCAGCCGAGTACCTTAGCCACTAGACCACTAAGGCGGGGTGCCCAATTTAACACTACAAACTAAAAGATTCGGCCAAGCAAAGAAGATTCGGTTGCTCTCCACAGGTTAACTCCATAAAACAGGGGCCGCTTGAGCGCACGTTTTTTTTTTTCCAGGAGGGGAGTGGGGGGAGGGGAGTGGTACACCCTGATCTGAAGCGGGGGCCGGGCAGGAAGGTGTGGTCGTGTGTCATTTTGTGCTCCGTACGCATCGGTAAAAAAACAATAAATAATAAATTGGGGAGTGGCACAGGCCTGGTGTGCTACCTCCTGGCTATGGCCACTGCTGTCGAAGAAAAGAAAGGAATCTGGTTGAGTTAAATGAGCGGGTGCAGTTCAAGAAGGGTTTCATCTTACGCATTCACGACTTGCAGATCCGGTGTCCAGATTTCGCTCGCCTGAACGTCCAGAGTGGTGAGGCCCCCGTATTCGCTCGAATTCCAAGCGAGGGCGCCATCCGTCCACACCTAGTCATGAGCAAACGATGCAAATGGCATACAAGGCATACATCGAATTTCGTGAGCCACTCGTGCTAGCACACTGATGTGAATTGAGATGTCGTCCTGCTCGAGGTATTTGGTTTTAGGAATGTAACAGGAAAAGTGCGTGATTAGGGTCTTAGAAAAGGTGACGAGAATTTTAGTGACGATTGAAGATAACGTATTCCAGAGCAATAAATTCTTTAAGGTCTTTGGTGCCATACCTCACGCCCCGACGAACGTAAAGTTATTCTTCTCTTCCCCGTTGGTGTGTCGAAGCGAAACGTGCGTTGCACATGGGCCGGGAACGTAGTGAGTGGGCAGGATAACGACTGTTGATTAAGGTTAACTGACTGGATTCCCAAAAAAAGGCAAACGCACGAGAGGCAGACAGGGAGTTAGGTGGGCTGATAAGATTAAAAAGTTCGCAGGTACAATGTGGCAGCAAAAAGCACAGGTCCGGGTTGATTGGCGGATCATGGGAGTGGCCTTGGTCCTGCAGTGCATGGGCATAGCCAGGCTTATTATTATTATTATTATTATTATTATTATTATTATTATTATTATTATTATTATTATTATTATTATTATTATTATTATTATTATTATTATTATTATTATTATTATTATTATTATTATTATTATTATTATTATTATTATTATTATTATTATTATTATTATTATTACAATGAATAGGTCCAGAAAAACAACCAACAAAATGTGGGGTTTCACATGCCAAAACCACCATACCATTTTCAGGTTTTCAGGAACGCCGTAGTAGATCGCTTCAGAAATTTAGGCCTCCTAGTCTTCCTTAACTCACAGTCGTCAGCAAGCTTAACTCGATCTCTCCGCAGCATGACCTGAACTGGTTTGACTGGTGCCAACCGTGCAGCTCTGGGCGCTGTTGTCGAGATAAGGCCTCGGTATGCTTGCATAGTATGTCAACATGCATGGGGTAACATATAGGCAACAGAACCCCAAAGCTACGTGTTGTAGGCGCCAATCAAACTCAAGGGTAAGGTGTAAATTTAGGACAAAGATTTAGCCTAGCAAAACCTTGATTAGTGGCATTGAATACTAAGCCTTTCTCAACGAACCAAAGACAGACTGTGGCACCTTCATATCATCGCTTCAATTCTTCGTAAACTGGAGTATGCATATTCATCATCTCATTCCATTCTTATCTTCCGCGATACAGTTGGACTGGTTACAGTAATGGGCCATCTTTTCAATGAAATGTGCCTTATCAGAGGAAATTAGTTGGCACTTACAAGAATCAGAGGTCCAACGACAGTCAGCCATCCCTCATCAAGTTCCTGCGTTGTAACGCATATGTATAAAAATGACACATGTAAGGAAACATTCGCAGAAGCATGCCGGAGAGCTTTCATTGCCCATAAAAGTAATATCACAACTCCTAAAAGAGAGCGTATAGCTGCTAAAATACGTATGATGACACAGCACAGATCAGGAAAAGTGTCGTTCCCTGTATGGTTCGCACTTGCACCTGCCTTTTTAGGGTAAAACTGCTAAAGTGGCAAGGAAAGCATGTGTGAAGTTGTGCTACCTCAGCGAAAGTCCAAAAGAAAAAGATTGAAAATTCAAGATGAAAATGTACGATTGACATAACAGGAGGCCCTAAAACGATGCAAGTGGCTGGGGCCAGCATTTCGACAAGGGAACTTACGGTCACCTACCAAACCCGTAAGACAAATTTTCAGGGAAATAGAGAAGTAGGTGGTCTGTTAGACCGGTACATGTATGAGAAATGGACTGTAAAAAAACGCTTCAATGCAAAACGAGCTCTAGAAGGCGCCGGCTATAAACCCTCACACACCGCCAGTGACCGCCATTTTTCCATGGCGCATGTAACGTTGTGTGATTCGTGAAGTGGAGACATATCGTCTTCTACCAAAGCTTCAGCCACTGAAGATCATTTTAATTTTTTTAATGCCGACCCACACAAAGTTAGAATAGCTCCATCGTACGCACAGCTATCCACAAAGCGAAATTGTTGGCCGGAATATAGACACTCGTAAGACAAGCGACCTGCTACGTCATGGCTTGCGAGTGCACCAGTGTTTTCAACCTATCGGGCCAATCGCGGGTTCATAAAGATGCTATAGTTATAAATTTCGTTCGCAACCAAGTGCGTTGGTGTATCGCCAGCTTGTTTGTGGACATCCGTGGATTAACCGCCATGCATAACATGGATTTTGAGCGAAAATTGGGTGTCATGGACCCTCCATGAAGTGCGGAGGGACATTGCCTAGATAACTGAAGCGCGGCAAATGATCGCCTTAGCGACTAACCCCCGTATTCAGAAACGCTCCTCGACTCGAATTCCATCCTTCACTTGACTGAGTTGAGCACTGCGCCGCTGCTCGACTGAAATTGACGCTGCGCTTCTCAAGAATCACTGCAGAATATTGCCGATATGCAGTGACTTGGTCTGCCAAGAGATGGCGCTCTCATCGACTTTTTCAAGTCGAGGAGAGCCCTTGAGTGAAGGAGCGTTTGTGAATACGGGTGTAGAGGTATAGTCTAGTTCAAGCACCAGGCAATCTTCCACAAAGGTGCGGCTACCGGCAGTCCAGCTCACGAAGTCAGTCCGGGGTGCATGTTCGTTGGTGCATGCTTTGTGTAAATCCACCTTTGAGGTTGAAAGTCCACAGGCTTCTAAAGCTGTACCCGACTACAGTCTTTGCGAGCCTTAGCCTCATGATCAACAAATCAACTTGTTGAAACATTGGCTTCAGCCACAATCCTTGTTTGAGCACCGTGATTTACCAGGTCGCGTTTCTCATAATCATATGGTGGTTTTGGGATGTTAAACCCCACATATCATCATCGATTTACCAGCTTATTCCCAAGATACAACTGATTACAAGACTATGGGATTACGATCTAGCATACCTCTTCTTTGCCGGCTAGTTACTTAACGATGACGGTTGAAACTGTTCTGGAATATTATCCTGATAGGTCATCACGGGTTAAGGGAGAAAGGTAGTGGTCAACATCTTGAAGCCTTGCGCCAGCTGTTATAGACTAATGGGGTTATCATGACTATGAGACTGGGCGGGGGGGGGGGGGGTCGTGCTGTTCTATCTTTCTCTCTCGCTCTCTCTGCATCCTTAAATTTACGTCATTCCTTTCCCTAGTGGAGGGTAGCACACTGCTCCTCCTAGAGAGGTTAGTACCCCTGCGTTCTCTCTCTCTTATTCCTTCCTTCTTTAGATCAAGCACAGCATTGATTGATATGTGAAGTTTAGCGTCCCAAAACCACTATATAGTTATGAGAGACGCCGTAGTGGAGGACTCCGGAAATTCAGACCAGCTGGGGTTCTTTAACGTGCACCCAAATCTGAGAACACAGGCCTAAAACATTTCCGCCTCCATCGGAAATGCAGCCGCCGCAACCGGGATTCGATCCCGCGACCTGCGGGTCAGCAGCCGAGTACCTTAGCCACTAGACCATCGTGGCGGGGCAGATCAAGCACAGCAAGAACACGCGGAGGGCACTTACGACACTGACGATATGGCGGTGAGGAAAAGATGCCTCGACCATGGTGGCTGTAGTATCGTTCGAGATAGGAAGAGGCCTCAGCGTTTTGTCGTACACGTCCGCACTCAGTAGTTTCTCGTGCAAGCGTTCGATGTGCGTCTGAATTTCTTGTCCCGTGGCATCTTCTGCGAAAAAAAAATAAAAGAAAGCAACTTTCACATTGTGGACGTGTTTTCAAAAGCCTCGCGAAGACCATATGAAGAAGACCCCAAGCGAAATGGGTGCCGGTACTTGAAGTTTTTGAAGCTTGCCTACTTTACATGGTTGATGATATTGTGGCATCATCAATATCGACCGAGTTGACCACATTTTCTATGGATGCGGAAATACTTAAAGCCCGTGTACTTAGATTTAGCTGCTCGTTTAGAAACCCCAAGTGTTCGAAATTTCCTGAACATTCTTCTGCGGCATCTGTCATAATCATATCACAGTTTTGGGACTATAAACCCTATTTAGTACTACTTAGGATATTGCTGCATAGGGACATGTGCATTCATGTTTGGCTAATTACCTGATTTCTAGACGAGAGAGCTTTTTTCCTTCATCACACTTCACTGTTCTGACTCAATGAACGTATTCTTTTAACTGTGCTAATTTTTAATTTCAGGTTCATCAACTTATTTAATGATTACTTGCTGATGTACTGTCAGTTTTACTAACAACTATTTTTTACAAACACACGCTAAGTGGCTAACAAGTTAAGTATGTCTTAATGTTATATTAAGCCTAATTATTCCAAACAATACCCGCAAATATCAACGTACTAGTCATCATGTGGAGTTGACACATGTGAAGTTGGTCGCAAAGTTTGCCTTTCCCTTTAGTGGAGTCGGATCTATTCAGCCATTCTTTAAAGAGAAGGGTAAAGGCTTGTTTTTTTTATTTGGTAGAGGTGATGCATAAATATCATTTTTTGAGATAGTGTATATGCGCTTACGACTGTCCATCCAAAGTCGAGGAATTGTCCTCAGCTAGCTGTAGTGACAACAGTACTCGGCTGCTGACGTGAAGGTCGATACTGGCAGCGGCGGTTGTATCCCAAAGGAGGTGAAATGACCATTGGCACTTCAGTGCATGCTAAAGGATATCAGATAATCGGAATTTCTGGAGCTCTTCACTACAACCCACCTCATAATCATATCGTACTTTTGGCATGACAAACCCTGGATAATATTATATGCGCACGCCTATACGTAAGCATCGCTGACATGGGAAAGTGAGTGCTCTGTGCATCTATATTCCATTAAATCTGCGAGGGCAGCAGCAGTTTATCAATGGTACACCACTAGTTATCGCGCTTTCATCTTGTGCAGAGGATTAACTAATACAGAACCGGGACAACGTTCAAGGGATGCAAACAACTTACCCGAAGGAACCAGCCCGACATTGCAAACCAAAACAAAAAGAACGTGCAGCGTCTTCATGCCGTCTCCGGCAAAGATCGGTTTCTCGCCTCGCCGACTCCTTCGCCACGTGTGGGGGGTGTTTGCAACTGATCTCTCTCCAGGGGGCGGCACTGGCGCCCTTACGCTGCTTTTCAAAACGAGCCCCGTCTTTGCGTGTTGGTTTCTTGTTACAGCTAGAGCTATTTCGGCATCGGTGGCCGCGGCCTAGTGAACTAAGTCGACATACCCAACCCTTGAACTGTAGCTGTTTCTCGCATTTCATAACGGTGACCACAGGATTTCTTTTCAGATGTTTTCTATAGCACCGCATATTTTATGCAAGTTTTGTGTAGTCCTGCACCAGCTCATACAATATCACGTTAACGCAATGGCCTCCAATATGCAGGTGTATGAATTTATCGTTATTCTATATCTCGATACGTGAGCCACAACTAAGCGCTTTTTTTTTACCGGAGATTCACCAGAGATATAGAATTTGCAGCCAATGAGTTTTCATAAGGCGTGAATTCATATAGTAATTTATTAAAGTCAGTAAACCACGAAATTCTTCAGCAAGGACACTCATAATCAAGACAGTTTTACTCCGCGTCAGTAATGGAAAACTCCTTCTGAAGCAAACTCAATAAAGAATACACACCAAAGTTGTCGTAGCCTTTACGTATTCACGTTGGTCCAACAGAGGAAATATATGAAATCTGTTTGTGAAAGCAGCTGTTCCAGTTCTAATCTAGAACGGTCCCCGCTGAGTCAGGTAATTTATAGGACATTGCCTACATCCAAGTCGCTAAGATGAGTCTTGTCTTAAACCCTTCTTAACTTCTTACGACTTCATCTGTAACCAAAGGCGTTCGTCCGACAGACATTGCCAAACATTCATTTTCCTAATCAACTCCTGTGGAGTGTATGGAGTGGGCTTGATGTGGAGTGATGATGGAGTGTATGGTTGTATGAAGTGTGCCAGTCTTCGAATCGTGGCCCACCCAAGGAAGGTTCGAAACGCTACACGCAGGCGATCCCAAGAATAGTTTGTTTGCCATGATGCCTTACGTTCAAACTGCGTCAGCCGGTTTCCATCACTACAGCGAGCAGAGTGTTAAGAAAGGGGGAGGGAGGAGTAGCTGAGAAGGCTCGCTAAGGTGGCGATTATCTCGCTGCATGAAGGAGAGAGACGCCCACTTCGTGGTGGCGCCTTCGTGCTCCTCTGAATGGGAGGTGGAATGCACAACAGCGCCTCGTAGTAACAACAGAGTCGTCTTTCGCCCGTCGCGTAGGACCGTTTCCAGTAATCCAGCAGGTCGTTCCATCGACCAGTTCTTCTCACTGCCATTGTCGGTTCAGCCATGATAACGTCAAGGTCTTTGGTGTTTCCCTTGGCCATCTCTCAGATGACTTTGTGCGTTTTCATCATCATACCTAGTTTAGGTGAGTGCTAATCTTAAATATCGTTATTTATGCATGCTACTCCGACTAGGTAGGTCTGGAGAGTGAAGTACATCTACATGTGGTACATTAAATGTGGTACCTAATTTAAGGTAGCTATCAGCAGCATACATTGATGTATGTTTGACTTGGATAGTAGCAGTAGTTCTGAGCTTGAAAAAGCCGACTATGTGCTTCAACTTCTTCGTTCGCCCGACGCGTTTTCGTCAAAGCATGGTACGATGTAATGCTAAGAGACAATGGCACCTCAGCAGTCATTCCTACAGGATTTACACAACGACGATGCACTTGTAATTCGAATGTGCCACACCTACACTCTGCGTTGTCAAAGACATGTAACTTGAGTTGAGCTTGGAGACTGGAGGTGGGAAGGGGCGGAGCGTAGAAGCCACCTCGTGCGCTGCAGTTCGTTGTTGATGATACAGACATAATGACGCGGCCGAGGTTCTCGTTACGCTGCGTGCGTGGCACGTGGACAAATGTTCATTTACACAGCACCTCCAGTAATGACACACATGGTAACTAGCCGCATTACGGACGGCACATCAAGTGGGCGTGTCATTCTTGGGTGTACGGCCTCCCAGTGCGACGAGCCGTCGGCGGCAGCTACATGAAACGTAAAGGTTTAAGATTTAGGATTTTATTGAGGTTGTTTTGATTACATTTCATAAAATCCACATCACTGATTAGACCCATAGCCACAGGCTAGTAGGGGGTCTAACGGGATAAGGTATACAAGCAGAATACAGTTAGTATAAAAAATTAAAACATCAAAAAAACTCTTTTTTCAAGAAAACTAACATAAATACACGATAGATTAAATTGGAATTTAAGGTGGCGCAATTGCTTGATAGAACGTACGAAAATGTATAGATGACACAAGCTGCGGACTGCTTAGAAAATACTAACGCTTTCCATTAAAATTCATTGTTTTTTTTTCATGTGCTATTGTAGTTCTTCTAATGTGTTCCTGTATTGCTGAGTAATCATTCTCGGTATAGTGTGAAGTCTTGAATGAAACCGATCATAGTGTTAAGGCGATCTTAATAGCTAGCACTGGCAGTTATTAAGTCAAAGTCGTCGCAGTGTCGGGGGCACCTGTCATTTCTTTTTCCGTATGAAAGCCGTGAAGGTAACGCCGTGCCTCGCATATTTTTTGCAATGATAACTTGGTCGTGAACACCAGAATACGTCCCCGCCTTACATTGATGCAGGTAGAAACAGGCGTGATGCCTCTGCAGAATAACTAAAGAAAGAATTATAAAAATGGTGAAAGTACATGGACATAATCATGCGTACAACATGGACAAACGTGAACGGTGTGTTATATTGCTCCACGTGTCTGATTTTCAGAAGGCCCCAAGAACACATTTTGAACGGCTATTGTTTCAATTCGCGGAGTCAATTTGTGGGAGCGCTCGCACCACCTGTAATGTTATTTTCGCCTCTCGCACCACCTGTAATGTTATTTTCGCCTCATGGCACCCACACATCGTGTGGGCTGACTTCACTGCGAGGCACTGAGTGCCAGTGTATTTAGCGTAGTCGCCACCGGGCGAGAGATGGCGCTGTGTTCCCACAGTGGCTGTGAACAGTGCGTGTGGAGAGGAAGAAGAAACTGCCGAACACTTGATAATGTTCTGTAATGGGCTTCACCCTATGATTCCGGTTGATGGCGCAGAGTTTTTCAAAGCACTGGGGTTTAGGCACAGTGAGGGAAAAATAGACTTTAAGCGGGTAGAATTAACTAGAAGGAGGCTATCTGATTGGTGGCTAAAATCAAGGCACGAGTGAAAATTAAACCCTTCACTGCAAAGTATGAATCCTCAACCTCACTATTTAAGGGAAAAAAATAAATCTAGTTTTTGGTTCATTAGGTATTACGGCTTGGTGGCGCTAGCCACCGCCTGATCTAAAGGGTACAGCCATATCCATCCATCCATCCATCCATCCATCCATCCATCCATCCATCGGCTCCACCCTGGTGGCGAAATGACGTAAGCCCATGAGGAACAGCACTCAATTCCTTTGACGCCGGGCGCTTTTCCTAATGGACCGTCGTAAACCTTACACAGTGGTGACAGCTAATTACGCCTACATAAGTCTGTCCCGCGGTGAAGCCGGGCCATGGGAAGCATGTGCGTGCCATAAGGCGAAACAACTTTGCAGGGACTTTGACTCCATAAGTGAGCGTCATCATTACACCAATGGGATCGTTTTCTGATGCCTTGGAAGTATTTCAACTTACGTGATATCGAACTGGGGTGTGGTGCATTTCATTTGTTTTTGATCGTGTTGGTGGCGCCTAAAGAACATTACTTTATACGTTCCAGTGATAAGTGTACATTTATGTTCCACCTACCCTAACGTGAAATAATAGGGGAGCCTTAGTTGTATTATTTCATCTCCTGGTCAACGGTACTGATATTGTACACTCTCAACGTTCATTGTATACATCTCATTACGAGCGATTGCTTGCAAAATATATGCCGTTATAAAAATCAGGACAGAACACGGTTAAGCATCGGAGAACCATAACAGGCTCCTGGGTGACTTAGAACAGGTTGCTTGCTTCTGTTTCTCGTACCCTGTTTTGATGACCTCGTTAATATACAACATGAATTAACATTTCACGCATTTCAGATGCGAAATATGTCGACCAGCAGGTGGTGAAGAAGCTTCGACAGAACTTGACTGATTCCGCAAAGTATGATAAGAACTACCAACCACTCAACAAAAATTCGCCCGACACGAAAGTAAACTTCACGGTCTATGCAAAGCAGCTGAGGTACATGGTAAGTACTTATAACAACCATTCCCGGCATTTTGATGAATTACGAAGTAAAGCTGCAACACCTTTGATTTAGCTCCTACATTTCATCGGTTAACATAGCAGATAAAATGTTACTTTCAGGTTGTTTACATTACTCCCAATATTATTATGCACTAAAATTTAAGGAAAAAGACATCCAAATCAGTCATGTTCCACAATTTTGAATAAATATGCGTACTTCAACTCCACGCGTCCAAGCGTGGACGTAGGCCATAACGGAAGGTTCTCTCACTAGATTGCGCTTGCTGCTGTTTCATCTGTGCAACATTTTCTTGATCAAAATTTTCTTTGATTTTCTAAAGTTGCTTAATTTTTTTTAGATGCCCGACTGGGACTACATGTCACTATCAGCATTCGTCTGCATGGTAAGTCCCTTTTGATTGCATTACATAATCCTGGCGTACTCTCTTCGCAGCATTTTTTTTAAGAAGCGCTGAAGATTAATACACTATTTCCTTGTGCAACACGCGACCGCGGCTGTAAATAAGCACACAGAAACAAGTAGTGTGTCCCTGAAGGACACTGAACAACAAACTTTATTTTTTGTGAATTAGGAGCCTCTACTGCTCAGTCGCGCACCTTCGCAACACTTCACTTTCGCGCACGGAACGCGATAAGATTTCACTGAAAAATATATGAAAAAGTGTCTGGCTGCGGCCATGTGACCGTGAGGCCGCCACTATTCTTTAACCTTTACTGGCTGTGATAACGACTGGCTACAAAGCTTCAGACGAATCCGTGTGAACGCCGTTAATCAGGCGTGCACCATCGGCGTACACCTTCGC